AACCCAAACTCCTCCATGCTGGAAGCTTGGGCTTATCTTGTCTGGAACTCCTCATTTTTCATTTGTACTTTCAATAAACATTTATTGAGCATCTCCTGTATGCTAGGTACAATTTGGGGCATTTTGGAATTCACTTTAGTTTAGGAGTTTAGTTCAATTTTGGCAGTGAATAGAACAGACAGAAATCCTGACCTTATGGAACTTCTATTCTAGTGAGATGAGACAGTTAAAAAACAAATACACAGATGATGCAGTGTGTTAAGTGCCAAGGAGAAAAATAAATCAGGGATGGGGGATAGAGAGTGTAGAACAGGGTGTGATACAGTTTTAACAGTGTGGTCGGGGAAGGTTTTGCTGAGGTGACATCTGAGCTGAGATCTGAAGAAGGAGAGGGAATGAGCCACGTGGATACCTAGAGGGAGAGCTTTCCAGGCAGAGCAAACAGCCTGTGCAAAGGCCCTGAGGCAGGAATGGGTCTGCATGTTAGAGACACAGCCAGGAAGCTTCTGTAAGTAGAGTGGAGTGAGTGAGGGGGAGAGTGGTAGGAGGTAAAATCAGAAAGGAACAGAAAGGACCAGATTGTGTAGATCTTACAGTAGACTGTTGTGAGGACTCTGGCACTGCAAGGAGTAAGCACAATAGATAACACTTTTATGTGTGTGCTCATTATGTTGCAGACACTACTCTGAGCATTTTGTATCATTTATTATCTTATTTAATCTCTACAACATCTCTGTGAGGTAGAAAACATTGTTATTCCCATGCTACAGATGAGAGAAGAGAGGTTTAGAGTGGTTGAGGTGGGATCAGGACTATTTGACTCCAGAGCCCTCACTCTGCACCACCATAATTAAGGGTGCAGGGGAAGCATTTAGCACAGTGCCAGGGACCTAGTAGGCACTCAGTAAATGTCATGATCGCCGTGGCAAGTATTAAAATAACTTTTTAAGAACCTTCCATCTTCCCACCCTTATCCACAGCCGCTCAAGCCTCAATGCCAAGCCCCATGACAGCCTTGACTTGAACTGCGACAGCCGGGACTTCGTGGCTGCCATCATCAGTATCCCCACCCCTCCTGCCAACACCCCAGATGAGAGCCAACCTTCCTCCCCTGGCGGTGGTGGCAGTGGGGCCAGCAGCACCCTCAGGAACTCCAGCCTGGGTACCCCTTGCCTCCTTCCCGAGACTGTCAAGATCTCTTCCCTATGAGGGACGGGCCTGCCCATCCAGAGCGCTCTCCCAATTCCTGGGGGCTCCCTTCCAAAGCCATATTTTGGGGACGCAGAGAAGGGCAGCCTGGGGACCCCTTCTGCCCCCCACTGAGAACTATGCAATGGAGTTTCATGGAATGGCCCACCTGGTGGGGAAATAGCCAGGGAAAGGGAAACTTCCCCCACCCCAGACAGTTTTCCCTGTGGGAGGTGAAGCACTGGGCTTCCTCAGGCCCCCAGCCTCCTTGCCCCAGCACACTGGGACTGGCCCCTCTACCCAAGCGGGCCTCCTGCATGCTCCTCCCCTCAGGAGTTCTGGCCCAAGAAGAAGAGGTGAAACTTCCTCTTCTCTCTGGCTGAGCTGTGGAGGTTTGGGGGTTCATAGAAGAGAACCCTCACTTCTGATCTGGCCTCTAGAAGAAGTCCCCACCCTCCACCGGGCCCAACAACTCTCAAATTCCGAAGCTTGGAATGCAACCACAGGCTTCATGGGCTGTGGCCTCAGCAGTGACCTTGGTTCAGGGGTCAGGCTGCCTTTCCCAACACACACAGATAGCACAAACACCACCCCCCTTCCCTGGCTGCTGGAAATGGGTCCCCCGCAACCCCGTCCTCCACTGGGCCCCCAGCAAACTCTAGCAATAGCAGCTGCTGCCGTGACATTATGCAAAGCCTCTGCCCAGTTTGCTGCAATATTTACATCTGCCCTAATCATAGGGGCCACCTCTAACTACTCCTCCTTCTCTCTTCTCTGGCTTGCTTCCTTCCTGGGTTGGGCTGGAGTCTGGACTGGCTGAGATAAAAGCCTGGCAGCTGGCAAGAGCTGGGCTGTGTTTGGAGATCATGGGCTGATTCCATGTTCTTGGGCAGGAGTCCAGAAGTGGCAGGGGCTGAGGCCTGGGTTGTTCCTGAGCTCTGGGAGCTGGAGGAGGCAGGAGGAACTTCTTGATCTCCTCCTCCTCCCCCACAATGCCTTTTCACATATCCCTCTCTCTTCTCCCTCTTCGGTCACCTTCAGGAACTCTGTCTGCTCTCAGGCTGAAATCTGGCATCATCTCAGGTTCCCTGTCCCCAGCACTGTCCCTGTGGAGCTGGTGGCTGACAAAGATGTAGTTTCCATCAGTCAATAAAACCTGAGAGGAGAGACAAGGATGAGCACCTCCTGGCTCTGTGGGTTTGGGGGCTGGGTTGGGCTGGAGGGGTTGAAAATACTCCAATTTCAATTCCTTTTAACTAGTAGAAGGGCTGTTAGGGGAAAGGTATGGGAGGTGGATGGTTGCTGGTGTGTTTTGGAAGATGGGGATCTAGGAGAAATGAAAGAGGGTGGTCGAAGAGGTGAATCTGCAGCCAGTGACGTAGGCTAGGAGGTCCTGAGACATGCCCCATGGACATAATCTGCTCTAGCCCCCTCACTCACAGATGGGGAAACTGAGACCCAAAGCAGCACACGCTTGGTTAGAGGAGACTTGAACCCAGGCTTCCTGACAGCAAACAGCTCTGAACTGAACCCTGATGAAAAGCATCTCTCAGTTTGGCGAATTCCCCTTCCCTGTGGATGTCCCCTACCTGTATTCTCTCTTCTGGACTACTGGATATACTAGACTAGTGTAACTGAGCTCTGTAGAGCACAGAGAAGACAGACCTTGGATTCAGGTTGACCTGGATTCCAGTCCCTGGGTGAGAGAATCACTTATCTTCTCTTGCCTCAGGTTGCTAATCTGTGAAATAATCATTCATCCATTCACCAAATATTTATTAACTGCATATCATGTGCTAGCCCTAGGGGTACAAAAATGGGCAAAGTAGACATCATCTCTGATCTACAGAGGTGAGCATGGAAGGCAATTAAGCAATTACAATATAGTGTAGTAGAACCAAGATTAGTGGATTACAGAAGCATATAGATGGCAAGAGAACCTAACCTGGCCGAACAATGAGCTGAAGTTAGCCAGGCAAAAGACAAAAGAGTGAAAATGTTTTAGGCAGAGGGAACAGCATGTGCAATGGCCTGGAGGTTAGAGCGCCAGCTCAGGGCCTTGGGAAACTGAAGGGGTTCAGCACAGCTAGTGAGGAGAGTGTGAGACTGTGACGAGGGTGAGGATGTAGAAGTAGGCCAGATCACAAAAGGCCTTTGAAGCTATGATACAGATGTGGACTTCATCCTAAGGATAATGGGGACCTCTGAAGGCTTATAAACAGGAAAGTCATCGCTAGTTTTGTATTTCAGAAGGATTATTCTGGCTGTGGGGAGTGGGTTATAGAGAACCAGTCCTGGAGGGAGGAAGAACAGTGAGGAGGCTTTTGCAGTTGCCGAGTTGGCAGGTGATAGTGGCTTAGACGGGATAGTGGCAGTAAGAGTTGGAAAGTCAAGAGATTTCAGAGATAGGACTGGCAAGATTTAGGATTGACAGGTATGTGGGAGTTGAGGAAGAGGGAGCAGTCAGGGTTGACTCCCAGGTTTCTGCCTTGGGCAAAGGCTGGAGGGGGTGCCATTCATTCACTGTCAAAGGGAACATCAAAGCTGTTGAGCACACAGTAACAGGCACATAGTAAGTACTTGGTGAAGGTTAACTACAATTATTATCATAAGTTCAGTTTTAGATGTGTAGTGCTGGACAAATATTGAGTAGGGAGTGGGATACATGGATCAAGTGAGATGGTCCTGAGAAGATTCAATGTGATAATGTACACAGGCATTTGGCACAGTGTCCTAAACACAGAAAGCCCAGTAAACGTGAGTCTTCTCCTCCCGTTAAGTCTCAAGAGCAGAAAACACCACCATAGTCTGTTTATTACCAACACCCTTCAGGAAAGAACTTCAACTAGGGTTGGCATCTGAAGGGAGACGTTTAGGTGGCACTCAGAAGAGCTTTCTGATGGCCTGTATATGGCTTGGCTCTTAAGACTGGCAGGGAGCCCTCACCTCTCACAACAACTTCTCGGTTCATGAGCTCATCTCAACTCCATAACTACTCCCTGAGGTAGTCTGGGCAGGCATTATCATTCCCGTTTTACACATGGGTAACCTCAAATTTGAGACACAATGACCTCCTCAAGGTCATACAGTTGGTAATGGTCCACCGTGCCTGGGACTGAGGTCTTCCTGACTCCAAAGCCTGGGATTCTTTCCACTGCACTGCAGTGCAGACTAATTTATTGAGCACTTACTAGATGCCAGGCACAGCACCAGACGCTTTGCAAGCATTAACTTCTGATCCTTAAATTGGGATTATCATTGCCATTTTACAGAGAAGTAGAAATTGAGGATGGGGTGGGTGTTAAATGACTTGCCAGATATCACTCAGAAGGGGCACAGCTAGGATTAGCTTGTAGCTCTCCACCCGTTCAGTAGCAGGAATTTTACCAACCTTATTGCGAGACGCTGGTTGCTGACAGAGCTGGTTTACAAACTTTGCTCGATTCAGGTAAACACCATTGGGGGGACTTGTGGGGGTGGGGAAAGGCTGTGCCGCGCCTGCGCGCTAGCCACAGGGGCGGGGAGGTCAACATGAGGGCAGCGGTGCGCCGGTGCCAGAGTGGGCGTGTCTGCTTCCCAAACACCCACTGTCCCAATGGTGCATGTCTGTCCCAAGGTTGGCCCGTTCGACTTGAGTGGTGGCATGTCTTAACCAATCACTGCAGAACCCGGCCTGTTGCCAGGGTGAAGCTGTGCCCGCCTCTCTACCGGAGGCGGATTTCTGGTGGGTGGAAACGGAAGTGATGCTTCAGGGGCTAGCTAACCTCTGGGAGTGTTGATATTTTCCAGTCAGTCCGGCTGACTGGGGCCAAGTTGGAAGCCCGGAAGGGAGGCGATTTAAAAACTCGTGCACGGGGCAGGCCACGCTGTCCTGTTGCAGTGCCCCCGCCTGCGAGTCAGAGCCTCGGGGAGACAAGAGCACGACGGGACGAAGAGGAAAGGCAAGGAACAAGGGTGCCGACTTTGACTGAAATCTGAGACAGAGGGCAGGGGAGGGCGATCGTTCGCTTCTGATTGGCTCGTGGGCATCATCGAGGACCCACGCAACCGCTTCGATTGGTTGGTGCCCTCAATTGTTGTGGCGGCGGCGAAGATTTTGCCCACGTACTTCCGAGCGAGAGGCGGGGCTGAGCCCCGGCGCGCCTGCGCAACGCCCCGGGCCCCACCCGGTAGTTCAAGAACCTGCGAGGGGGCGGGGCGAAGAGGTGCTTGTTTTGGTTCTGTTTCCTTTGAAGCCGAAGGCCGGAACGAGCATAGCAATAAACTTGCTGGGCTTGGAGAGAAGGCTACGACAAGCTCGCCGCGGTGCCTTCATCTTGGACTTCACATCCGGGTTCTCCGGCCGCGTGACCCGCGCGCCGCCGACGTTCGAAAACCGGTGCCTCGATCTCTTTATCCGGGGCCCGGCGATCCCGTCGTGCTTCGCGCACCACTGTAGCCCCCCTCATCCGGGTCCTCTCCCGGCGTGCCCCGCGCCGAGTTTGGTGGGGGGTACTCGGCGGTGCCGCCATGACTATTCTCCCCAAAAAGAAACCACCGCCTCCCGACGCCGACCCCGCCAACGAGCCGCCGCCGCCCGGGCCGCTGCCCCCGGCGCCTCGCCGCGGCGGGGGTGTAGGCGTGGGCGGCGGCGGCACGGGTGTGGGTGGCAGCGATCGTGACCGTGACTCGGGAGTCGGCACCCGTCCTCGAGCCTCGCCACCGCCTCAGGGCCCGCTCCCGGGGCCACCGGGTGCCCTCCATCGCTGGGCGCTGGCCGTGCAGCCTGGCGCCGTGGCGGGACCCCGGCCACAGCAGGCCTCTCCTCCTCCTTGCGGGGGCCCCGGCGGTCCCGGCGGCGGTCCCGGTGACGCGTTGGGTGCTACAGCAACGGGCGTGGGCGCGGCGGGCGTGGTGGTGGGCGTGGGCAGTGCCGTGGGCGTGGGCGGCTGCTGCTCTGGGCCGGGTCACAGCAAGCGGCGGCGTCAAGCCCCTGGGGTTGGCGCGGTTGGCGGGGCCAGTCCTGAGCGGGAGGAGGTCGGCGCAGGTTACAACAGTGAGGATGAGTATGAAGCGGCTGCAGCGCGCATCGAGGCCATGGACCCCGCCACCGTCGAGCAGGTATGGACGGGGGGTGACGGGTGACTGGGTGTGGTGGACGGGATGCCCAGACTGCGTAGGGACCCAAGGAAGGCTATTTGAGATCGCTCCAAGGGGCCTTTGTCTTCTCTCTGAGACTGGCACTCTTTTCTCTGGTAGTGGGGGTGTGAGAGACCCTATTTCCCCTGCCAAGGACTTGGGGTTAGAGGCCCCAGATAAGATGGAGGACTTAAAAGTGGGGTCTGTGATGTCTCCTAGGGCCGTAGTTGTCATTCTGGGCCCAGGGACCTCTTCGTGTAGGGCCAATAGGTAGGAACTCCCCAGGAGAGACAGGCAAGATGGAATGCCTCCTGAGAGGGGAGTCTCACGACTCTCCAGAGGACCTTGGTCTGTGTTCAGTGACTTGAGATTTCTTCTCCTCTGGGATAAGAGTTTAAGGCTTCTTCTCCAGGGAATACAAGTAAGGTGGAGATCTCAGAGATATGAGTGTCCCCAAGATACCAAAACCGTTTCAGGGGTCTGAGACACTCTATATAGGACAACCCCCTTCTCTTTCTCAGGGGGATACAGCACAGGACCATGCAGCAGTGGGGTCTGAGACTCCCTCTTCTAGAAGTCAAGGGCCTGACACACACACATACATACCCCCCTAAGATCCCCTTCCCTATGGGAAGAAGGGTCAAAACCAACACCCTGGGACCAGAAAGTCTACTAGGGTACATGAGATTCATCCCCTTCTAAGTGACAAGGGTCTGTGCTTTCTCAAAGAGGTCTGAGACCTCTTTGGAGACAAGAGTCTGAATTTCTCTCTAGGAGCTTAAGCTATTTTTAAGGTCTAGACACCCGCCCCCCCAGCACCAGGCCTGAACCTTTCTTCAACAAAATAGGACTCACTGTTTCGGATACTGGAACCTAGGATTGCCCCTGCTTATGGACTGGGGCTTTCAGAGACTGGGTCTGAAGCCTCTTCAGGAGACTGATACCCCTCCACAGAGGTCTTTAGGGGACTTTTCTCCTCAGGGAGTGGTCTGAGAATTCTCTTTGGGCATCTGAGACACTGTGCCAAGGACTCTTGAGCTTTCCCTCAAGGACAAGAGATGCATACATACCCCAGTGGCCAGTGTGTCTCTAGAGGTGAGGTCCAAGCTTCCCCCTCAAGGAACTTAAGGTACTCCTCAGGAGCAGGAGGTCTCCCCTGACCAGATTTGAGCCCTGAGACCCTTCCCTTGGGGCATGGGTAGAGTCCCTGGGGAATAGGGTTCCGCATCTCCCCTCATGAGTTTGAACTTCTCTCAGCATACGTGTACCCCAGTTTTAGAGGCCTTTTGGGGGCATAAGATTTCATGCCTTGGGGACTTGAGCCTAAGCCCCCCTTCCACTTTGAACTAAGTCCTGCGGGCTGCTCATTACTCTTGGGGACATGGGTAAGGTGGGATTCTGGGGGAAAGAGTCTGAGCCTCCTCGCAGGGGCCTGAGCTTCCCCTCTGGGACAAGAGATCCTTCACCTTAGGGAGGGGCTTGAGCTCCCCCCTTGGGTATGAGGCTCCTCCTCCCCTCCCTTCTCCCCCAACCAGGCAATCCTTTCTCACCAGGGAGAGGGACGGGAAGTCCTCCCCAATGTGGCCTGAGGCCTCCCCCATTGGACAGAAGGACCTGGATGCTTTTCACAGTCATAAGAACTCCCTACCTGAGCCTGCTCAGGCTAGGAAGTTCTCCTTACTTTCTGTGAGAAAGGTGTCAGGTACTGGGGACATGAGGACTGAGGCCTACCCTCAAGAGCTAGGAGATGTGTTGAGTCTCTCCCTGACCCAGCTATGCTTCTAATTTCCTGGATCAGGGAAATATTCTGAGCTTCCTGAATTTCTTTCAATAAGCTTTTTTCTTCCCAGAGACAGGGAAGGGGTTTGGGACATCCCCACTGCAGGAAATTCTCCACCCACATTCCTCTCCCTCTTGGTTCAGGTAAATCTTTGTGTACTTCACGGGGGCCAGGGCCAGGGCCTGGTTTTGAGCTCCTGTTCTTGTTCCCTTTCCATGCATTACTACTTCTCCAGGCAGGATAAATCATCTGCCAGGGTGAGGACCAGGAGTTATTTCTTCTCACTGGTTGCAGTAAAGTGTGCCTTTCCTTCTCCACAGAAACGAGGAGTCCCAGGAACAGAGAGAAAGTCATGTGCTGCCATGGTGACTAGAAAGACACCTCCTTACATCCCCTTTGCATCTCCTGGGCTAGGAGTCCCTCCCTTGTAATTGTTCCCATAAGAACATGGAAGTAAAGCTCTGTGGTTGCATGATACCTTCCCTTCCCAATGACGGAGGAGAGGCTTCATGTCCTCCCACTTCTTGGGACAAAGGGAGGAAGAAGATGCTTCTTTTTGCTTCACCTGGTTGAACTTGGGGATGAAAAGAGGGGAGATTCTTCCTGCAGCCCTAGGCTTAGTCCTGAACCGTCACTGGGGGCATTTGTAACCCGGAGGCCAATTAGATCCTTGGGAAAGAGGGGAGTTGTTGAGAGGGAGCCCAGATGGTGAATCTGGTCCTTGTGACTACTCAGACTTATTGTCTGTCCTGGTGCTGTTACTGTATCTACTGCCTTTAGGAGCCCTTTTGACACCCTGGGGGTCCCAGTGCTAGGAAGGTGGTGTTGTCAGGGGTTTCCTTTCCCAGGTATGGCTGCCTTGCCGAGAGTCTCCCCTCTGAAAAGAATGGCTTGAGAGCGTCCTGAGCTTGAGGACGCCACAGAGCATTTTGTGAAGGGGGCCCGTGTGCTGAAGTGGTGGGAGAGGGTGGACCTGACACTGAAGCCAGGATGCCTGGGTTCCCACCCTGGCTCTGATGGGGCTTTTCTGGATGAAGCAGAATAGTTCTGCCTGTGCTCTCTGGGCCACAGTTTTCTCTTTGGTCAGGTAAGGAGCTGGTGAGGTATTGTTTAGCTTTGGGATTTTAGGGAGCTCACACCAAAGCCCTTTGGGCCTGGAGGTGACAGGGAACAGTAGGTGTCTTTCGAGGCAGAACTGGGTTCCTCTCCTCTCTCCCCTGCCTCTGTGTTCCCTCTCAACCATCCAAGCTTGGTGGTCAGGACAAGTCGCCTGGTCAGTGTGAGGCTCAGGGTTGGCAGACAGTGATTTTTGTGGCCAGCTATGCTGTGGTGAATAAGCTCGGGGGTTGCCTGTTGGGAGACCTCTTGGATGGTTTGGAGGTAGGGTTATGTGTAGAAAAAGTTTAGGCTTTGGAGCTGGCAGGCCTGAGTTCAAATCCCAGGATCTCCTGCTTAGCTGCCAAAAGTCCACCCATGCCCAAGGTTATTGAGTGTCTGAATACCTGACCTGGCCCACCTTGGACCTTGGCTGATTCTTCTCTTGAAGTTTCCCCAGGATCATCTGGGTTCTTCCTAGGAGCCTTTGCAACAACTGATCTTTGTTGGCAAAAACCCTTCATTTGGCTTCTAGGAACCTGCTGATTCCTCTGGTGAGGAGGCAGAGTGGTATAGCAGGAAGTGGTCTCTGCCTGGGTGGTCTGGGTTTGAGTCCTGTATCTTTTGGTAGTTCCTTTTTCTGGGCCTCAGTTTCTCCATCCATAAAATGGGTAGTGGTGGGGAGGGAAGTTGTACTCATTGCTTTGAAGCTAGTTGTAATCTCTTTAATTCTCTGCTCTCTACTCCCCCCATCCATTGTGAAAGTTTTGAGTGGGACCCCTTGGCTTTGGGAGTATGCTATGAAGTTTCAAGCAGTTACCAGCTTCCCTCTCACCAGCCAGTGCTGTAGGCCTTTGTGTGTGTGTTTTTTGTTTTCTCTTGTTGTTGTTTTTATTTTTTGGCTTCACCACTCAGGATATGGGATCTTAGTTCCCTGACCAGGGATTGAACCTGCACCCCTTGCAGTGTAAGCATGGAGTCTTAACCGCTGGACCGCCAGGGAAGTCCCTATGTGTGTGTTTGTGTTTTTTTTGTTTGTTTGTTTTTTTAATTTATTTTTGGCTGTGTTGGGTCTTTGTTGCTGCGTGTGGGCTTTCTCTAGTTGCAGTGAGTGGGGGTACTCTTCGTTGCAGTGCACGGGCTTCTCATTGCAGTGGCTTCTCTTGTTGCGGAGCACAGGCTCTAGGCATGCAGGCTTCAGTAGTTGTGGCACACGGGCTCAGTAGTTGTGGCCGCACAGGCTTAGTTGCTCCGTGGCGTGTGGGATCTTCCCGGACCAGGGCTCGAACCCATGTCCCCTGCATTGGCAGGCGGATTCTTAACCACTGCGCCACCAGGGAAACCCCCTGTGTGTGTGTTTTTAACAGTTTTCTTGAGATATAATTCACACATCATGCATTTCACCAGTTCAAAGTGTACAATTCAGTGACTTTTAGTGTAGTCACAGAGTTGTACATCCATCACCACAGTCAATCAATTTTAGAACATTTTTTTCACCTCAGAAGGAAACCCTGCATCATCATCATCTCCCATCCCCTTATCCCCTCTCGACCTCTGACAACCACTAATCTACTTTTTGTTTTGATTGATTTGTCTTTTCTGGATATTTCATATAAATGGGATCATACAACATGCAGTCCTTTGTGACTTCGTTCTTTCACTTAGCATAATGTTTTCAAGGTTCATCCATGTTGTAGCATGCATCAGGACTTTGTTTCTTTTTGTTGCAGAATAATAGAATCTTCATTTTTTAATCCCCCTCACCCCCCCTACCCCAGTGGCCTGGCAGTAGGTTTGGGGCCTTTTGCTCTTTTCCGATTCCTCTGCCCTGGAGAGCTTGTGTTAGTCCTTAGCGGTGTGTCTGTCTGTTTCTCATTGGATGGGTTGCCTATGTTTAGCCCGTGGAGCAGAGCCAGTGTTCCTGGGTATTTTGGGGGAGAGAGGGGTGGTCTTGGCACCAGGCTTGCTGGGACAGAGCTGTGTAGCCCAGAATACTAAAAACCTCTTGGCCGTGGGTTCTGGGAAGACATCTGTCCATGAGCTGCCACTGCTGCTGCCATCTCCCCCTGCCTCCTCCCCGTTTCAGTGGCAACTCATTCATCAATAGACAGAGTCAGCAGCTTCCCAGGCTGGGAGGGGGGATTCCAGGCCCCTGCAGCCTTAATTCTAACCCTTTCCCTGGGGGGATGCAAACAGGGTGGATCTTGTGGGATGTGAGCATTGCCACGTTGCCTCACAGCTCACACAAGGGAGTGCTACAAGGAGGTTGTATTTGTTTCCTGTGGTTGCTGTGACAAATTACCACAAACTGGGTGGTTTAAAACAACAGAAATTTATTCTCTCACAGTTCCGGAGGCCAGAAGTCCGAAATCAGTTTCACTGGGCCCAAATCAAGGTGTTGGCAGGGCCACACTCACTCCACAGGCTCTATGGGAGAATCCAGTCCTCTTCCAGCTTCTGATGGCTACTCCCATTCCTTGGTTTTTGACCGCCTCACTCTGACCTCTGCCTGCTTCTCCTCTGTGTATGGGTGGTCTCCTCCTCTGTCTGTATCAGGTCTTCCTCTGCTGTTCTAAGGACACTCGTGATTGCATTTAGGTCCTACCCTGATACTCCAGGATAATCTCCCCATCGCAAGATTCTTAACCACATTTGCAAAGATCCTCTTCCTGTAGCATTTACAGGTTCCAGGGATTAGGGCCTGATGTCTTTGGGTGGTCATTATTCAGCCTTCTACAGGGGTGTTCTTGTTTCCCTTCCAGGGCGAGGAAGGGAACTCATTAAGTGCTCTCATACTGGGCAAAGTCCTATAATATTTGAGTCTTCCCAGTATCCCTATTATTGGGAGGCTTGTTATCCCATTTCACCGATTGGAAAACTGTGGCTCAGAGCAGTTCATCACATGGCTAATAATTAGTGGAGTTGGATTGAAACCTCAGTCAGTTGGGTCCCACAGCCTGCTTCAACTTCTGTTGTGCCTTTGGACCAGTAGGTTGCAGTCTTGTACCTTGGATCTCCTGGTGTCAGAGAGCTTTGCCCAACCCCTTTGTGGAGGCTCAGAGATGTGGAGGGAGTCAGCCACAGGTTCAGCAGTGGGCTTGGAAGATTCAGGGTCTGGACTTTTTGTATTTTTATTTTATTTTATTTATTTTTAATTTAATTTTTGGACTGTGCTGCACGGCATGTGGGATCTTAGTTCCCCAACCAGGGATCGAACCCTGCAGTGGAAGCACAAAATCTTAATCACTGGACCGCCAGGGAAGTCCCAGGGTCTGGATTTGACTTTCTTAGGCCTGGACATTGATGTAGCTTATGCCTGGGCCAGCTCCCACCTTTCACTTCCGCCAGACCTTCCTTCCTGGGCCATTTTCCTAAACGACTCTCAAGTTGGCACTTTCCTTGGAGGCTCCTATCCAGCTGGGGAAAGGAAAAGACTGTGCTCTGAGCTCTTGGGACTCTAAGCTCTTTTTGGAGCCCAGGACCATGACCTCCCTGTTTTCTCCCCGCAGAGGGAGAGAGAGAAGGGGTTTCAGCCAGAGCCTGCTTTAAAGGCTGCTGGTGCCAAAGGCAGTGGGTGGCTAGTGGTCTGGCCTCCAGTTCCAGGCCCAGATGCTAGTCTGGCTGCCCCAGTACCAAAGCCTTGCTTGTGCAAGGGGAATGCTCAGGCCTTCTTCATTTTTAAGGACAAATCAGGATTTTCCCAAATGGGCTGCCAGGTACATCTCCATGCTGTGACTCATGAGGCTTCTCTTGTTGCCTTTACGCTAGGCTTTGCTGGTGCCCGAACCCCAGTTCCTTTCTGCCTTTGTAAAATGAAGATAATGCTTCCTGCCACCTGAGCTGTGGTAAGGACAGTTAAATGAGGTCACCTTTTGCATCTGGCACCTGGCATGGGCAGGCATTCGGCTAATATGAATTCATCTTTTTTCTTGGCCCTGCCCTGCTTACTTGCCTAGTCCTATCCAGGACTTTAGCTCTGCTGAGCTCATTGCTGGGCCTCTGGCATCCCTGGAGTGACAGAAGTGATCTCTTATCCAATTAACAAGCATTTCTGGAGGTCTTGGTGTTTTACTCCTTTACCCAGGTGGCACTTCCTCTCAAGTGCCAGCCTTAATGACTGGCCAGGTCCCTTCCTCTGTTTCACAGCACACCTGTGTTCACCTCTTTCAAAGCCCTTGCTCACACTTCAGTGTGGACATTGCCTGTTTCCCCACCCCTCTAGCAGTTCATGAATTTATCGAGGTTGAGACCAAATTTGATTCATTTTTCTGTCCTCATTGCCAGCCCAGGGTCTGACTTAGTAGCTGGTTGGTAAACCTTTGTTGGATGAGTAAGTAGGAGCCACTCTCGTCCTCTTTGATCCCCTGTCCCCTCTCGATCTCTTTTCCCCCCATCCTTGAGGGCAGGAGGTTGCTGTGTGCCCTGCTTTCTTAGAACTACTTCTTCTGTCCAGTCTGGGGTTGTAGTCATAGTTGCAGCTTCCCTGCTGAAGACCCCTGGCTAGGGCAGGCGCCATGGTGCTGGGAGATGGCTGACCCTGCAGGTCAGGGATAGGGGAACTGGCTGGAGTAGGCCAGTCCAATGTGACAGCCTCAGGGCAGGAGGGACACCTGGACTGCTGGAATGTTGTACCCAAACAAGAGTTTGTGCTGTGGAAGCCCATTAAGAGCTTCCAGGTGCCTTTGTCATCTCTGGAAAGCCAGCCACACCTTCCTGGCGTGCGGGCCCTGATGGTGGGGCTACTGGCTATTCCCTTGTCACCCTCTCTTCATCCCCTCCTGTCTAGCCACTCACCTGGGACTTTCTGAGGGCCTCTCAGTTGTATGTCATCTCTGTCTGTGCTGGTCTTGCCCCTTCTTCTGTTACTGATGACCACCTCACCAGTGCATGGTATGTTGTTTAGAAAGCCTTTTCAGGTCCTGAAGCCCCTCTGAACCTCTTGACAGCTGTCGGACAGATCACATACCCCCGTTTGATAGGCTGAGGCTTGGAGAGTTCAGGTAGCTTACCTGAACTCATGCAACAAGTGAGTGACAGAGCTGGGGTTGGAACCCAGAGCTTTGTAGCCTCTAAACCCTGTGTTTCCTACTTTGCCAGGAATTTCTCTCACCTGAGCTGGCTAAAAATGGCCTGCAGAGAGGTGACCTCCTCTGTCTCATTGGCATTAGCCCAGATCCTGTAAATCCCTAGGCTGGGTCGTGTCCCCAAGGAGCAGCAGCCTTGGGATTTCTGGTCCCTAGACCTGATGCGGGCTCAGGCTGGCTTCTTCTGGTGGCCAGCAGATGGCGCGAGGAGGCTGGGAAAGATCTGCTGCTTCTGGTTCGTTTTGTTTTGAGATGGAAAACGTGTTTTAAGTGACACGGACATTATTTTTTAATAGATTTATTTTTTAGAGCAGTTTTAGGTTCACAGCAAAATTGAGCAGGAGGTACAGGGAGTTCCCATATACCCCCTGCCCCCCCACATTCAGAGCCACCCCCATAATCAGTGTCCCCCACCAAAGTGATACATTTGTTACAATCATTGGACCTACATGGACACATCATAATCACCCAAAGCCCATAGTTTACATTAGGGTTTGCTCTTAGTGTTGTACATTCTATGGGTTTGGATAAATGTATAATGATGTAACCACTGTTACAGTATGTAACAGTATGTAACAGTATGTTTCACTGCCCTAAACAGTATGTAACAGTATGTTTCACTGCCCTAAACATCCTATATGTTCCGCCTATTCATCTCTCCTTTATTTATTTATTTATTTATTTATTCATTCATTCATTCATTTATTTTTAGCCACGCCAGGCGGCATGCCGGATCTTAGTTCCCTGGCCAGGGATTGAACCCGTGCCCCCTGCAGTGGAAGCGTGGAATCTCAACCGCTGGATCACCAGGAAGTCCCTCTCCATTATTTTTTTTAAAAACATCTGAAAATACACACTTGTACAGATTCACTTAACCCCACACCTTTAGAGCCAGCTGTACTTTGGAATTCAGAAAAATTTCAGAATTTAGGAAAGTCACCTGGTATGTGTACTGTGTATTATGTAACACCTCCCGTCGTAGTCAAACACCTGAATGTTTCTGCATAGAAATGTTTGAATATTCGCCTCTAGGTGGACTAATGGGTTCTTGTCAACTCAGGTCGGATTGTGATGCTCAATGAGTTAGATAAAGACTTGATTTTAAAAGATTTTAGAAGTTTGGAATTTTGGGTAAGGTATTGTATACCTCTTTTTATAAAGGAGGTGGTGAAGTAAAATCATCTGTAATACCAACATTTAGGGATAATATTTTGTTGTGTAAAGTCTTCCCAACTTTGTGTGCATGTGTGTTTGTATACATATGCATATATATGTTAAATGTGTTCTATCACAAGTGACATCATACTTTGCATATGTTTTGCCTTATACAGTATATCTTGGAATTCCCTAGCTGTATGTGGAGCTCAGGAACTAGACTCTTGCCAGTCACTCCCTCCTAAACATCTCCCCTACCCTAAGTGACTAGAGGGGGTCCCCAGGTGAAACTTCTCGAGGTAGAGCCAGGTTTTCCCCCCCAGGCACTTGCTGGGTCTGGGCCTCTGGCTGCCTAGGGGAAGGCCCAACACTGGATTCTCAGCATGGTCAGCAGTGGTCAGAATACAGATGGGGCTTCTGCCCTTAGGGCAGCTGAGACCCCTCTGGGAGCAAGTCTGCTCACACAGTGACTGATTCCCTAAAAGAAAGGGTCTCCTCCTGCTTCACATGCACATAGAGTTGTCAAGCAGGGCAGAGAACTGGACCCTGCCCATTGTCCTCTCAGCCAATCATCTGGGCCCCTTGCGAGCTCAGGGGCAGGGCCCTGGGGCGAGGGTACAGGCCTTTCCTGTTGCTGACCCCCACCTCTTCCCTCCAGCAGGAGCACTGGTTTGAAAAGGCCCTGCGAGACAAGAAGGGCTTCATCATCAAGCAGATGAAGGAGGACGGCGCCTGTCTCTTCCGGGCTGTAGGTGAGTCTCTGCCTCAGCCTTCAAGGGCCTAGGGCTGCCCCTGAGCTGTGTCCCAGTTGTCAGGAGTAACCCGTGTGACAGGGTTGGGGGCAGAGTTAGCTGATCTTTTAGGGACTCCAGGCCCCAGCCTCAAGTTAGTGTCTGGCCTCTAGCCCTCAGTCATGAGGCAGTATGGTGGTATGAGAGTAATAACAGCAATAATAGTGATAAAGAAAGTAACATTACTTAGGGACAGATTTCTCTGTCAGACACTACAGGAAACCCTTTTAATTCTCCTCCAAGCTAGGTAAGTGTAGGACTATTGCTTCCAGTTGTTAGATGAGAAAAACATCTCAGAAATAGGGAATGACTTACCTAGGGTCAGAAATACATAGAACAGTCGGGAGTCGGAGTCTGGGTTAGGTTAGTCTGAGGCCTCTTAACTGCAGCACAAAGCTGTCGCCCTGGAATCATAGAACTTTTTTTAAACTTACACGAAAGAAGAATAGTGAACCCTCATGTACCCATCATTCATCTTCAAAATAATCGTTAACATATTGCCAGGCTTGTTTCATCACTACCCTACCCACTCTTTTTTACTCTTCTGAAATGAGTATTTTTAAAGCAAAACCCCATCATGGATCATCTCATTTGTAAATATTTCTGTATGTTTCTCTGACAGATAAGGGCCCTCTCTTTCTCTTTTAACATAACAAAAATGCCATTATCATACCTAACAAAATTAATAATTCCTTAATACCATCTACTATCCAGTCTGAGCTAGATCTTTGAAGCTTCTCTGGCTCTGAATCTCTGACTCAACAAGCAATTGTGAGGTCCTGTGCTGGTGTCCAAAGGAAGCTGGGAGTGTGATCTGATCCTCCCTTTGGAGCTCTGATATCTCCCAAGGAAAAGTGCCCTCCAATAGGAGCTTTGAGCTGGGAGTCAGAAGCCCTTTCTTCTAGTTCTTCCCCTGACTCATAACTTCCATTTTCCCATCTGTGAATGGTGTTGATTCTGAAGGGCTCATTGAATCCCTTCTGGGTCTGCTATTCTCTTAGTCTGTGCAGACCCATCATGTCTGTTGGTGGGCTGGACTGACTCAGGCTCCACTTCTGGCTCTACCACTGATTCTTGGTGTGCCCCTGGGCAAGCCCCTCTTTTTTCCCTGAGCCTGTTTTCTGTATCTCAGGTACCTGTGTACCATGAGGCTAAAAGATGTCGTGTTATAATGGTTAAATGAGATTACTTTAGTAAATCCCTTTAGTGCCTGACTTGGTAGACTCTCATGGAACAATAACATTGATAAAGCTTGAGTGCTATTATTAGTGGTGCCTCAGAGCCACAAATGTTTGAGTGGGTGAAAGAAAGTTAGGTGGGGTGACTGGTTGCCTCCCTATTCTACCAGGCAGAAGAGGTTCAGGCAATGGAATCTGCTGGGCTGGGAAAACTCCAACCTTCCTATCCCTGTGGCTCAAGTCCATGTTCTCCCTGGGATGTTTCCTAGAGAAAGAGCTAGGTTTGGGGGCATCTTGGACCAAAGGAAGGCAAAGAAAGAAGACGTGGGGGCCCATGAGGTGTTAGGCCTGTGCCGAGACCTTAGGTTGAATGTGGGCTAAGCAAGGCTGCTGGTGGAGTGAGGGTCAGAGAATGCAGCTGGGCATCTGGATCTTGGGTGGTCTTTGAGGCAGACCTTGGGCCTGGTGAGGACCTGGCTTGGCAGTAACCCATGTCAAGAACAAAATTTAAGTGTGTGTCCATCTAGCTGTTCTCCCCAAACACCTTCTGACCCTTCCCCCTCATTGGGGCCTTCCAGTAAGGGGCCTAAGTTTACAGGAAGAGCTGACCATGACAGGTTGAAGGCCTTTCCCTATCAGCACTATGGCTACACATTTCCTCTGACTGGGCTGCCCTTGGGTTTTCTTCGTAAAACCTCAGAAGCCCCACGGTCTCTCCCTGAGAAGTATGTGATCCCCGGGTCTCTAGGCCTCACCTTGAGGTTTCCCTGGGGCAGAGTGCACAGGACATGTGCCTGGGAAGGGGACTTTATCCTCAAGCTTTCTGCTGCCCCTTTGCTTCCAGCCTAGCTTGGGACAGGGACAGGTGGTAGTTACCCTAGGCTCTGGTGAGAAGGGCTACAGGCTGCCACATATTGAATAGTAGAAGGACCACGTAACTGAGGGCTGGAATTGGAGGGGGGACCAACATAGAGACCACTCTGTTGTTCCTTGACCCCGAGTGATTGCTAGGCATTCCTCAGGGTGCTTCAGGTTCACCTGCAAAATTGCGATCATTATCCAATGAGACAGGTGAGAAGATTGAGGCTCAGGAAAGGGAAGTGACATGCTCAGGGTCATTAGTGGCAGAACTGCATGGGAACCAAGAGGTGTCCAAAGGACACATTCTTTCTATGACCCTAGGGAAGCCCTAGCTTCTTAGCTTAGCTGTCAACTGGCTGGGTGACCTTGGCTTTATTCCTTGACCTCTCTGGGTCTTACTTCTTCCAGCTAGGAACCTGTGGTCCTCTACTCTTAGGAATCCTGAGGCAGGTGGGTTTCTACCCTCTGTTTTACCTCTGAGGTCTGGGTGTCCCCAGTGTGAACCAATATCCACTGCTTGTGCCCAGTTCTCTTTTCCACAACCACCTGTTGGGAACTCATGAGCATTGGCACAGGCTTGGGTGGAGTGGAATTGGGAGCCTGGGTCCCAGAGGTATCCTGTGGTCCACCCTGCCTCTGCTATGCTCAGATAACCTCCTCCTGGAAACGTGAGTCTGCATCTCTCTTCCCTCCCTCTCTCTATATGGCTTTGACTCAGCAAAAACCTCTGGCCCTGGCCCTGGCCCTGGTCTTGGCCTTGGCCTCAGCCTCTGTGGGCAGAGTGGCAGCCACATGTGCGTGTGTCTGCGTGGGCCTTGGGGATACAGCTGGGACTGTGCACGTTACAGTGATGGGGCCCAGAAACATTAGCGAGGCCCACTGCTCTGGACCTTTTAGTCTTGGAACGTGGACTATCAGCATTGGAGGAATGGATCTTAGATCAATTTTGACTCTTCTATAAAAGGGAAATAGGCCTTAAGAGAAAGTCAGGGCCTTATTATCTAGGTCACACAGCCAGTATCAGAACATTGGTGTTTGAGGTTGAACCAGGCCAGAAGGAGAAGAATCCCATGGGCCACCATGTACACCAGCTTCTGTTGACCTCTCTCTGCCCTGCCTCCTTCAGTGTTCCCATCTTTGCAGTGGGCATTTTATTTATCTATCTATCTATTTATTTATTTATTTATGGCTGCATCGGGTCTTAGTTGCAGTGCACGGGATCTTTCGTTGTGGTGCGCAGGCTCTCTATTTGTGGCATGCAGGCTGCCCTGCGGCATGTGGGATCTTAGTTCCCCTACCAGGGATCAAACCCACGTCCCTTGCATTGGAAGGCAGATTCTTAACCACTGGACCACCAGGGAGGTCCTGCAATGGGCATTCTTGAGTAGAGGAGCAGGCATCTCAGAGACCAGGCTATTGAGAGGGCTGAGTTCTGCTGTCTCCCCCGCTGAGGGTGTGCCAGTTGGGGTAGCTGGGGCCACAGGCCAGGTATGCACCACAGCTGCTTGACAGGCAGGTGAGGCCTTATTTTTGGTTCATCTCCTCAGTGGGGCCAGGGTTCCCACTGGGCCAGGAGAGAAGCAGGGAATAGAGCAGGTCCTGTCTCCCCCTACTGCTTTGTACACACATTCGTGTGGTTTGTTTTTAGATTTCCCTGCACACACCAAGCTTCCTTTTCTGTCCTCAGTGGAACTCGCTGTGGCTCTTCCAGCAGGCAGGTAGGCAGGCAGGCAGGCAGCAGCCTGGTAGGGAGGTAATCCCCAGGTGCCTCTAAAACAAATTGTAGGGCCTTGTACTTAAACTCTTTATTTATTTTTTAAAAAAATTTATTACTATTATTTTTGGCTGCACCATGCAGTATGTGGGATCTTAGTTCCCCGACCAGGGATTGAACCCATGCCCCCTGCAGTGGCAGCATGGAGTCTTAATCACTGGACCTCTAATGAAGTTCCCCTTAAACTCTTTAGAGAGTCCAGGCTCTCCTGTCTTGCTCTTCCACATAATTCCTCAAAAAACAGTGACTACATTTTGGGGGACCTTCCCCCAGGCAGCAGGGGAGGGAGGTTGAGACAAGTCTGTTAGAGCTATTGGCTATTCCCCGCTTCCATCAGGCCCCGTGGCAAAGGCTAGGAAGGAGGTGTGGAGGGGTCCTCAGTTTGTACAGCCTCATATCTTGTCCAGCCTTCAGTCTTTCCTGGTTGGTGGCAAGGGCATCTACTTGTTGGATGCGATAGTTCTCTGCAGTTGTGAGGGTTGTTGTATGGGTATTTGGCCTCAGGGAACATCTTTGGCAGGATCTGCTGGTTGTGTGCATGCACATATGCATTTCTATGCTGGTGTCTCTGTATGCTCAGAGAAAGGACAGAAGTAGGGTGTGGGGAGGGAAAGTTCATGCTGACCTCTGTGGCCCTAGTGAGGGGTACAGCCCCTGATATCTGTAATCTCTGCCCACTTTCAGGCCTTTCCTGCGTTCCAGCTGATTCCTGCTTGTGCTGGTGGGGAAACTGAGGCAGTCAGGATCAGGCCTGGCCTAGAGAGTCAGGTGGCTAAGGTGATAGCTGGATTGGGAGTGGTGGTAATGTCACCTGGGGCGTCAGTGCTTGAAGTTACCAGTTACACCTTGAAAGCCTGGCCTCTCCTTCAACCTCCCAAATGTGTGACCTTGGGCCAACTATGCCACATTTCTGTACCTCAGTATCTGTCCTGTGGAAAGTAGGGTTTTTTTGGGTAAGAATGGAATGAGTTAGAATGTGAAAAGGCCTTGGTGGAACCAACTGTAGTATTGTACTGAGGATTTCTGAGCCCTATTTGGGTTGGGGACAGAGGTGAGGTAGTGGAGACCCCCTTTCAGCTGGACTCCGGGAGGGGAGAGCAGGTGCAGATTGCCAAGTGCAGTGTCAGCAAGAGGAGGAGTTTCGGTTTCTATCAAAACAAGTGCTGTGAATTCCCCTACCTCTGCAGGACCATTGGGCCCTTTCCCTCCACCTTAGACTCCACAGGGAAATCCAGCTCAGCCCCTGGTTCCATGTGCCACCTTCTCGGGAGGAGGAGGGCTTTCTGGAGGACAGAGGTAGGGCTGGCAAAATCAGACAAGCATCTCCTGAGTGAGGATTTCTGTGTTCTTAGCCCTGCACTGGGTGTTTTTCCTGCCTTATGTCATTCAAAAGATCCTTCTACTCTCCCTCATTGGCAAGGTACTGTTGCTCCGTTTCCTTGGTTCAGAGATGCACATTTTCTTACATGTTGATGATCCCCAAACTAGGGTACATCTTATAACCAGTGAGGTGGGTTCCCCCCTCCCAAAAGCTGTGATTAAATACATGTACCGTAGAGAAGGTGGTATTTTACATTTTATAGATAAGTAGAGAAGGTCATACTTTGCCCACATGTAAGGAACCCATTTTGTGAGGCCTGTTTGGTTGCTGAAGATTTGAACTATAGGCACAGAATGTAGGCTTGTGGACCTTTGGATTCAGCAAAGGTAGAGAACCAGTTCTGCCTTCATGAGGAGGGACAACCTAGACTTTGAGTTTGGGGCTTTCCTCTGGCTGATGAAGTGCAACAGAAATGAGGAAGGGCTTAATAAGTGGTTCCGGTGACATTCTAGCTGACTTGTGGGTGGCTGGCTATCTGAAGGAGTCATCGTCCTCCTTATGACAAACAGGAGCCCTGGCTCTTGAACACCTAGTATGCTTTAGGTGTTCGGCAGACCATCCCCGTAGTCTTAACAACGCCCCATGAGAGGAAGAGGAGTTATCTCCCCCACTTTATGGATAAGGACATTGCAGCCCAGAGTGGTTAAAGGCCTTTTCCAGTGCCACATAGCTAGGAGGCAGAAGAGCCTTTCTGTCAGGCAAAGGAGTCAGTGACAGGGCAATGGGGGGACCCTCATGGGAAGGTTCTCCCCCAACTCCCTTCCCTGTCTACAGTCTCCCCTCTTTCCCCCAACTTCTTGCATCTGGCATCTAGGTCGGGTAGATCTACCTCCCAGGCCTGGAAATGCCTGTTGACCCTTCCCTAGGAACATCTCAGCCACCTCCCTGAGCCTGATAGACCAACCCCTATTTTTTAACCCCTTCACTCCTGTCTCAGTTCCTGTTTACTGCAGCTGCTGACAGCACTGCCTCTTTGGCACCCCAAGTTTATTCTACAGAAATAGCTCCTCGGGCAGCTCCGGCAGCCACAGCGGGTTCTGTGGTCCTGGCTTCTAAGAAAGGCAGCGACAGGGGGCCCCCAGCCTGTGCACAGGGCATGTGACTTGCTGGAAGTGCTGCTGGGGGGTGGGGCAGGGGAGAGTGTGGCCGCAGAACCCACATCCTTGTTTACATCGGTGAAGGGACTACCCCTTCGCGCCTTCACAGCCCCCACTCCCCATCCCTCTCAGGTCTCTGCACCTCCAGGAGGACGTGAGACAGGCATGGGCCCCGTTTTCTATCTCAGAGCGAGCGGCCTTTTTCTCCTTATCTCACATAACCCTCCAGGGAAGGAAGGGGAGGGCAGCGAAGGCGTTCTTCTAGCGATTCTTCACAGAGGTAGACTGGCTGTCATGGAAGAACTCTGCAGTGTTCCCTGCAGGACCTGCCCCTGCCCCTGCCCCAGTGCCCCAGGGAGATCCCGTCAGAGCAACGGTCTGGGGAGACAAAGGGAAATTCCCTCTTCGTCTTAGCCAGTGGACATAAGGCGTGCCTCATCTTCAAGCCCACTTTAATTTCTCAGGGAGAAGGCTCCCTGGCTCCCGCAGCCTTCCCATCCACTCAGCAAACTGTTCCCAATTTCTTGCACTGCATCAGGCTCTGAGCTGGGGGTGGACTTGGATGTGAACTGCCCTCTGCCCTCAGTGGGAACCCAGTGTGATCAGGCAGATGAAGTCTGTACGCACCTTTGATAAATCTGGTGATAAGAGGTGCTCTGGAGGGTGGGGAACTGTTTTAAGAATACATTGATATTTGATAAGTAGGCAGACAAGGAGGATGGAAATAATGTCTTGAAAAGGGAACAGCATGTTTGAACATCCTTAAGTGAGGCAGAGGGAGCCTAGTTCTTATTGTGACCAAAACCCTATAATGCCTGGACCATTTGGGCCACAGGCTGCCTTTCCTGAATTAAGCTTAAGTTAGGTGCATATGTGTCTTATCTCTCTTATAGAATACATGCTTCTTGCAGATAGGGGCAGGATTTTACTCACCTCTATCACCTTCACAGTACTGCACGTTCAGGCCCCACTACAGGAAAGGGGGCTCTGAGTGACTGCTCTGTCCCAAACCCAGTGCTAGTCACTTCACACCTATTATCTCATTAATCCCACGAGAGCCCTGCCAGGAAGTCATCCAGCTCCATCCCATGTTACACGTGAGGCATATGAAGGTCAGAACACTTGGGTCATTTGCCTCTGGTCATTTTGCTCACTAGTACCTAGCAGAATTGGGCTTAGAGCCCAGTTGTTTTTCTTTTCCTTTCCTTTCCTTTTTTTTTAACCTTATAAAGGCCATACTGACTCCTGAGAGTCAGGAAACTGAATTATAGAATTGAATCTGTCACAGACTTGACTTCTGTGTGACCTTGGTCAAGCCACAAACTCCCCGAGCCTCAGTTTCCTCATGTGAAAAGTGAAGGGGGTGTATGTGGAATTGAAGGTGCTTAAGGCCACTTAGGGATTTAAAATGTTTGTTGACAAAGTCATCTGCTCAAGAGGCCTGTGGTTGTGTCCCTCTTACCTGTACTCTTGTTCTTAAAGACTGTCCCTGCCTGCCTCTATTTTCATGACCCTATTCCAGCCCACAAGGCCAAGAACTCTCCATGCCTTAGGGTAGGAAAGGGCATTTCCCTGGCCCCCAGCCCTCCACCCCCAAGGATGTTCTGTGACTCAGAACTCTTCTTTGGTGGCAGCTCTGACCCCAGCCTCTCCTTCTGTCCCCACAGCTGACCAGGTGTATGGAGACCAGGACATGCATGAGGTTGTGCGAAAGCACTGCATGGACTATCTGGTGAGACTTTGCAGAGACCTTGGGGCGGGGGCAGAGTGGGAGGATCTCTTCTCTACATAGAGCTTGCTCCTCTGATCTATTCTGCAGATGAAGAATGCCGACTACTTCTCTAACTATGTCACAGAGGACTTTACCACCTACATCAACCGGAAGCGGAAAAACAACTGCCATGGCAACCACATTGAGATGCAGGCCATGGCAGAGATGTACAACCGGCCCGTGGAGGTGTACCAGTACAGCACAGGTACTTCTGTGGTGTTGGTGAGCGACTGATCACGCCTGGTCCGAGCCTGCCCCACCCAGCCCATTGTGGATGCTCCCTCCTTCTCTTTCTCTGCAGAACCCATCAACACATTCCATGGGATCCATCAAAATGAGGATGAACCCATCCGTGTCAGCTACCATCGGAATATCCACTACAATTCAGTGGTGAATCCTAACAAGGCCACCATTGGCGTGGGGCTGGGCCTGCCATCATTCAAACCGGGGGTAAGCAGGTCCCCATGCCCAGAATGGATGCTGGATATAGAGACCAGAAATCTCTGTTGGAGTTTCAGTTTTGCCCCTAGCCCACAAAAATATCCTGTCCCCTCTCTGAGTCGCCCGTAAGGTCTCACCTCTGTGAAGTTAGGAAGTTACCCAAGGTGATCTCTCAGGGCTCATTCTGTGGTCTTGGTTTGCCTGTCTGAGCTGGTTCACCCATCTTTTGTGCCTGTTAAGGGTTGGCATTTGGGGATATGGAGTCACACTTGGGAACTGTGAGCCAGGGCTTGGTCTGGGTGTCTTGGCACCCACATGGATCCTCCTCCGAACCTTAGCAGGTACAGACAACTGTGGTCACAGAGACTTGGAGTGTAGGCCTGGCCCCACAACTTACTGGCTTGGGACCTAAGGCAGATTGTACAAGTAATTTGACTTGGTAGCTTGGCCGATACAGAAAGTGCCTAACACTGGGCCTGGTGCCTAATAGGTGCTCAGAAGGTGGCAGTACATTTTCTCAGCACACAGTGACAGATTCTGATTCTCTGTCTCATAAACAGTTGTCTGCTGGGGATTTTGGTATCTTCTATTCAGGTTTCACTTCCTACAAACAGAAAGTGCTCCTGCCTCATTTTAGGAAACACACCCTAACACCAACACACCCTCTAGCATAAAGGTTTTTTGGTTTTGGTTTTTAAATTTTTAATCTCAGAACAGTTTTAGATTTATGTAATTATTGTGATTATAGAATTCCCATATACCCTCCTATGATTAACGTATTAGCATAGTGTATTTGTCATACTTAATGAACCAATATTGATATATTAACTAAAGACCATATTTCTGTGACAGTTTTTCTGAATTTCCTTGTTTTTGATCTGTTTACAGACTCTATAGTTTTGCCTTTTCTAGAATGTCATATAATTGGAATCATAACAGTATGTAGTTTTTCCAATGGCTTCTTTCAAGTAACACTGTACACTTAAGATTCATCCGTGACTTTCTGTGGTTTGATCATATGTATCTTTTCTTTTTCCTTTTGTTAAAAATGTGAGTGCCCTAAGTTTGTTTTTTAGTAGACTTGTTTAGAATAGTTTTAGATTTACAGAAAAATTGAGAAGATAGTAAAGAGTTCCCATATACCCTGCTCCCCCTTGCACACATTTTTGCTATTATTCACATATCAGATGACTGTGATACATTTGTTACAATATATGAACGAATATTGACACATCATTATTAACTAAAGTCATAATATCTCCTTAGGCTCCCCTGTCTGTGATGGCTTCTCACACTTTCATGTTTTTGGTGACATTGACAGTTTTGAGGAGTACTGGTCAGCTATCTTGTAGGATGTTTCTCTTTCGGAATTTGTCTGATGTTTTTCTCATGATTAGACTGGGGCTGTGGGTTTCAGGGAGGAGGATCACAGTGGTAAAGTGCCATTCTCATCACATCATATCAACAGTGTATACTGTGAACGTGATTTATAACTGTTGATGTCGACCTTGATCATCTGGCAGAGTAGCGTTTATCAAGTTTTCTCCACTGTAAAATTAGTCTTCCCCCACACCACCCCCTTTTCCATGCTGTACTGTTTGGAAGGAAGTCATTTACAGCCCACACTTAAGAAGTGGGGTTAGGGAATTCCCTGGCAGTCCAGTGGTTAGGACTCGTGCTTTAACTGCCGAGAGCCTGGCTTCAATCCCTGGTTGGGGAACTAAGATCCCACAAGCCGCACAACACAGCCAAAAAAAAAAAAGAGGATACACTCCATCTTCTTGAGAGCAGAGTATCTACATAAATTATTTGGAATTCTTCTGCAAGGGAGATTTGTCTCTTATCCTCCATTATTAATTTATTCAATCATTTGTATCATTGTGGACTGATGGGTATATCTTTAATACTTTTACACTTTGGGTTATAATCCAATAGTATTTTTATTTGATGCTCAAATTTTTCCAATTTTGGCTATTGGGAGCTCCTTTTGTTGGTTCCTGCGTCTCTGACATACCCCCATCATTGTGGTGGTGTGTTTTGGGAGCGTGGGGTGTTTCTTGGTTTGTTCGTTTTTCTTTTATTTATTTATTTATTTTAATTAATTAATTAATTTATTTATTTTTGGCTGTGTTGGGTCTTCGTTGCTGCACGCGGGCTTTCTCTAGTTGCGGCGAGCGGGGGCTCCTCTTCGTTACAGTGCACGGGCTTCTCACTGCAGTGGCTTCTCTTGTTGCGGAGCACGGGCTCTAGGCACACAGGCTTCAGTAGTTGTGGCACGCAAGCTCAGTAGTTGTGGTTCGCAGGCTCAGCAGCTGTGGCGCACGGGCTTAGTTGCCCCACGGCATGTGGGATCTTCCCAGAGCAGGGCTTGAACCCGTGTCTCCTGCATTGGCAGGCGATTCTTAACCACTGCGCCACCAGGGAAGTCCCTGTTTTATTTTGTTTTGAATACTTACTTTCTGGCACTGCAAGGTGCTCCAGGCTCACCTTGTATATTTCCTGCCCCATTCCTAGAACCAGCCATTTCTCCAAGGAGTCCTAGTTCCTTTTATTGGAGAATGTTATTAGAAACCAGCATCTGAGTGCTGAGTTTGCTCCTTGCTATTGGGGTATCCTTGTTTCTAGGCCCTTTCAGCTGACAAAACAAGGAAGTATATGTGTATATACTAACCTGTGTGTATACACGTATCTAGAAATATTTCTATATGTAACCATCCATATCTACATGAAGCTATAGTTCTTACTGATATCTTTAACTGATGGGTACCTTGTTGTTATTTTTAATTTGCAGTTCCTAATGACAAATGGTGTTGAGCATCTTTTCATGGGCTTATTTGCCATCTGTATATCTTCTTTGAAGTTGTATGTTTAGATTTTTTCCCCATTTTTTAATTGGCTTATTCTAACAGAGTTTTACATTCTTTTTGGACTGTTATCCATGGGTAAAAAATTACATTTTACATCATTACTTAGTGCATGCACACATTGGTGTGTGGTGTGTATATGTGCATTAAAATAAGTTTCACTGAGCAATACTTCACATTTATTCCCTGGGATATGCACTGATACTTTTCATTATTCCGTTTTTAAAAATCTGTTATGTCTCACAGCCTGACAGAGAACACTCTCACACAGTGTTCCACAACTCATAGCACCTCACACCATGCTGACACTGTTCTCTTGTCCAGTTAAATGCCCCAATAGTCCCTCTACCCTGTGCACACAGAGCTCACTTCTCGGGTGATCTTTTCTCCTTGTCCCATCTGGGCATAGGTGAGGAAGGCCTCAACAACTGAGTCGTCACTGGGTGAGGCTTCTTTAAATTCTAGCCCTGGCTGGAGAACACCTGACTGCCCCAGACTTAGTACTTCAGTTGAGGTGTCTTGGGGTTGGGAGCAGAGCTTCTGAGTATAGGAGTTTGGAATGACACGTCCCACAACCCAAACCTGCCTTCCCCCAGCCCCTGATGAATAGGCAGCCTGCCCAGGGGGTTGCTTAGTAAGAGTACCTGCCTTTGTGCCTCCTCTCTTGCGGGCCTGTGGGCCCACCTCCCTGAGCCAGTTCTGGCTCTTGGCCAGAGTTCAGAGTGTCAGCCCACATCACTGTTCCTCCCCCACTCCTTGCAGTTTGCAGAGCAGTCCCTGATGAAGAATGCCATAAAAACATCGGAGGAGTCGTGGATTGAACAGCAGATGCTGGAAGACAAGAAGCGGGCCACAGACTGGGAGGCCACAAATGAGGCCATTGAGGAGCAGGTGGCTCGGGAGTCCTACCTGCAGTGGCTGAGGGATCAGGAGAAACAGGCTCGCCAAGTCCGTGGCCCCAGCCAGGTGGGTCCTGGGGTCTGTCACTAGCCTGGCTAAGAACCTGTTAATTCCCACGTTCTGCCCACAAACAGGCAGAAAAAAACTAAGCAGTTTTGGCATCTGGGAGAGAAGGAAGCTCCCAGCCCCGTCTGTACCTTATCTTGGCCTTAGTCTTGGCATTGTGCCTTAGAACTCTCAACGCTTGTGCAGAACTAGCTCTTTTAAGGAGTGAGGGAGGGCAGCCACTGATGGTGACATGCAGGGTTCATGGATAGTTTCAGAGGGACAGGCTCTTGCTGAATGTTCTTGTGTGGCAGGCTGTGTGCTGAGGATGTAAAATCAGGTCTGGCCCACTCCACCCTCAGTGATTCTGTCTGTTAAGGGAAACACATGCATCAGTGGGACCCTTGACCCTGGCTGGGAGACCAGTGAAGGTGAGGGCTCTGGTCAGTCTCCACACAGAAAGGTTGAATTTTTAGGGCAGGGAGTGGGGCATGACAGCCAGGCATTTGAGGAATCACAAGGAGTTTAGAGTGATTAATAGACATTGGCAAGAGCTGAGTAATTCGTTGAACAAATATTTATTGCAGACACTGTTCTCAGTGTATAGGGGTACATTGGTGAGCCGGGCAGTCCCAGATCCCTGTACTTGTGGTACTTACATTTATGCAGAGTGGAACAAAATAAACATAATGAATAAATTAATTGAGAGGTGGTATGCATGAAAGATGTAGAGCAGGATAAAGGGGATGAGTAGGACTGAGTGGGGCTGGGAGTTCACAGTATTAAATAGCATGGTCAGGGTTGGCCTCAGAGCAGGTGAGATTTGAGCAAAAGCTTGCAGAGGTGAGGGGATTAAGTGCCTATGCCAGGGAAGGCAGAGGCCCAGCTAGAGCAAAGGCCCTGAAGTAAGTGCACACCAGGTGTGATTCAGAAGCAGCCTGGAGGCCATTGTGGCAGAAGAGAATGTAGTAGTAGATGGAGTCGGAAGGCGGTGGGGCCAGATTGGAAGGGGCTTGTGGGCTGTGGTGAGAACTTTGGCTTTTTTTCTGAATGAGGCAGAAGCCATGAGAGGGTTGTGAGCAGAGAAAGAGTGGGATCTGACTTAGGATTTAACAGGATCCTCCTGACTGCTGAGTGTAGAATGGAGTCTAGGGGGCAAGGGTGAAAGCAGGGGACCAAAAAGGAGAAGGCTACCATAGCAGTTCTGGTGACTGACGACAGTGCTGGCAAGGGAGGGGGTGAGAAGGGGATAGATTCTGGATCTATTTTGAAGGTGGAGGTAACAGGTTTCCTGTCAGATTGGCTGTAAGGGTGTGAGAGGGGCTTTAAAAGAGCTTACCTTCATCCTGTGGTCCATTGTGTGAACAGGAATGGTGGTGGCCTATGTAGAAGCTATATCATAGCTAGGATCCTGGGAGGGAGCGAGCCCTTTGGGAATGGGGCAGAGGAGGGTTGCGACTGGTGTTGGTCTTTACCTCCTCATCCTTGCTCACTGCAGCCCCGGAAAGCCAGCGCCACGTGCAGCTCTGCCACAGCAGCAGCCTCCAGTGGTCTGGAGGAGTGGACCAGCCGGTCCCCAAGGCAGCGGAGTTCAGCCTCGTCACCCGAGCACCCTGAGCTGCATGCCGAGCTGGGCATCAAGCCTCCTTCCCCAGGCACTGTCTTAGCTCTTGCCAAACCTCCTTCACCCTGTGCACCAGGTCAGTGACTTGCTGATAGGGAGCATGCAGGGGTCAGGAGGTCCTGCCTAGGTCCTGAGCCCTGCCTCTGACTGTCCATCTGCCCCAGGTACGAGCAGCCAGTTTTCGACAGGGGCCGACCGGGCTACTTCTCCCCTCGTGTCCCTCTACCCTACTCTGGAGTGCCGGGCCCTCATTCAGCAGATGTCCCCCTCTGCCTTTGGTAAGCCTCCTCTGTCTATGGTCCAGGGGCCAGCTGGGAGTTGGGGAGAGATGGCAGAACCAGCTTGTCCTGCAAAGGGGGCTTCTTGGGCCTCTGGCCATCTCCCCAGGAAAAGAGAATTTTTCAGGTCCAAGAGTCTGTCCCAGAGGCGGATCTGAGTGGGGTTTTGTAGGCCCAGAGGAGTCTTCTCCTTAGAGAAAAGAGTGATGGGGGCCTGAATGGGATCTCTCCAGAGCCAGGGATCAGCAAAGGGCAAGGAGAAGGCAGGCTTTAAAGTGCTCTGTCATCCTTTCTCCCTTCCTCTTGCCCAGCAGGCCTGAACGACTGGGATGATGATGAGATCCTAGCGTCGGTGCTGGCAGTGTCCCAACAGGAATACCTAGACAGTATGAAGAAAAACAAAGTGCACAGAGACCCACCCCCAGACAAGAGTTGATGGAGACCCAGAGACTGGAGACCATCTCCCAACCCCCACACTCCTGCCCTCTGGTGCCACCCCACCTTCTTTGGCTTTCTTCCCTCTTGCCTTCTTCCTTCTTCCCTCTCTCCCCTCCTTTCACTCCTCCCCACTTCCCTCCGGCTAGCCCACCCTGCGCGCCCTCTCATCGCTGCCACCACCATCATCACCTGTCTCTTCGCCAGCTGATGTGCCCTGTTGCCCCCTGCACAGCACCATCCCTGCATTCCACAGGGGACTCGGGCAAGGGTGCTGAAGGTAGGCGAGAGGCACACAGAGACAAACCAACTGGCAGCCAGGCAGCCCCTGAGGAGAGACATTCAGACAGAGGAAAGTCTCCTTGTCCCCGATTCCTTCCAAGATCAGAAACTTGTCACCCCACCACAAATGATGCCGGGGAGGTGGGAGGAAGAAGTGGGAAAATCCCCTTCCCAGTACCCCAAGAATGTCTGAGCCTTCAATGTTGAACTTTTTCTTTATTAAAACGTTACTTTTATCTTATAAAATCAACCAATCAAAAAGTGATGTAGACAACAGCACTGGCTCTATGAAAGTGGCATCTCTCTGGTTTGGGGGCAGGCAGGCCACGGGGCACGAAGATGTGATTGATGTCCCTGGCCTCCAGCTCTGTGGAGGCGGGCAGGGTCTAGTGTGAGCCAGGGTGGGGTGGGAGGGCAAGGGGGGGCAGGTGTCAAGTGGGCTTTGGACAATGAGACTCTGACCTTGCTGCATTCCTTATGCTTCCACCACCACCACCAGTCATTTTGGAATCTCGGGGTGGGGGGCACCTTTGAGGATCATGGCCACCGCCCAGGATTTGAGTGTGGGGGGTGGGAGCAGCCTTGGCAGATGGGGCACCCATGCCCTGCAGGTGTCAGCAAGATCCGCCATCTGTAATGTCCTTGGCACAATAAAACCAAATGTCAGTTTCCCCTGAGCGCCTCTGTTCTGTGTGGGACGGGGTGGGTGAGCCTCTGATCAGAGGCGGTGATGGCACAGACCTTGGCTTGACCTCTAAGGGCCGTATGCTCTCCCTTGGGGTCTCTCTGGGGGCCCAGAGTTTGTTCATATTTGATTCACTGGTTACTAAACCAGCTTTTGGACCTGTTACCACCAAGAAAGCTCTGTCTTTGCCCATCGTCCTTGCCTCACTATTGGCACAGGATGTAGCCTGCCCACTCTATTTCCTGGAGTGTGATGGGAGCAGAGAACTGTGAGCTTAAAGGCAGGGACTGAACTTCCAACTTCTCTGCCTGCCTCTCGCCCCAATATGTTTGCTCTTTCCTTGTGATTGTTTGATTAGGAAATGCTTTGGTCAGCCACAACGGTTGCTTCATAGCAACATGAGTTTAGTGGAAGCGACCAGAGGGGAACCTCCCCACACTTGGTTTTAGAAACCGAGGAATAGCTAAACCTTTTTTTGTTCATGTTCCCCAGTTCTCTGGACACTTCTGTCCTTGCCCTTCCTAGACTAGGTGAAGCCAAGGCAGAGAAGGATGGCTGGCCCTCAGGTTTTGTCAGTTGTCTTTGATGTCCCTCAATAATGGGGTTCTTGTGGAAGGATGTGTGTCCAGTTCTGCAGGTGAGGGTATGGCTGTCTGCAGGGTGTCTCTGTGGAATCCACTGGTTAAGCACATGTGTGGAGAGTTGGTTTGAAACCTCGGCTTTTTCTAACTATGTGGCCTTGGTCAAATCACAGGCTCTCTGAGTTTCAAGTGTCCCATGTGTGGGACAGGGGTGATTAATGTCTACTACCTCATGCTCTCTCTGGTTGTGAGCATTGAGAGAGTGTATATGGTCAACATAATGTACGACGGCGCAGTGCCTGCCACGTTCTGAGAGCTCAAATGTTAGCAGGTATTATTTATTATCCTAATGTTGAAATTTCTGCACCATTTGGCCCCTGCCTACTTCATCTTGCCGCTCTGTCCAGTTTTCCTTGGCCTCTGCCTGGAATTTGCCTTTCCTCTGTCCCAAGCCTCCAACCTTGTCTTTCAAGATGGGTAGAGGGTCTCCTGAGAAGTCCTGTGTGACCCTGTCCACATTCTCACCTCTATCTACAAATATGTCTTTACTCCTTTCCCAGTAACTGTACTGTCAACTTCCTGGGCAAGGGCTATGATGCCTGACTTATCTGTGTATCTCTTAATATCTGCACCCCCTCTAGGGCCTTGCAGGCTTAAGTAGACCCCTAATAAATGTTGGATGAATAAGGGAGAGTACATGTGTGTATTTGCTTTTTGGGTGTTTGTGTGTGTGTGAGAGACTGTGGTGAGTCCAAGTCTCTGTGCATCTCACAGTGTCTTTCTCTAGTGTGTGTGACAAGGGCTTAGTTCCAGGTGTGTCAGATGGTGACTGAGTGTGGGACTCTATCTCTGACAGTTTGTGTCTGTTTCTGAGACAAGTGCATGTCTGTGTGGGTCTGTCTGTGACAGGGCATCTGTGGTTTCTTTCTGATAGGGTGGATGTCCGTTTGTATTCCTGTGACAGATTCTGGGTAGCTATTTCTGGACAGTTTCAGTGACAACACTGCATGTCTGCTGGTGTGTGTGTGTGTGTGTGTGTGTCTGTGACTGTGACTGGGTCAATCCATGTCTGTTTTTGTGACACTGCCTATCTGTGGCTCTATCACTTAAGTATATGTCTGCCTTTGGAGCAGTGCATGTGTGTCTTGAGCATCTGTGTTTCTTCCTGTGACAGACTCTGGGTCTCATTTCTGGGACAGTACAAGTCTTTCTGTGACACTGTATGTCTGATGGTGCCAGTATCTTTGTGACAAGTTCTGGCGGTATGTCTGACAGGACATTTCTGTGTCTTTGTCACATGGCAGTGTAGGTCTATGTGAATCTATCTGGAGTGCCTTTCTGTAACAGTGCATCTCTGGTGTCATTCTGGGACATAATTTTCTGGCAGCATGCCTGCCTGACAGTAGATTTCAGCCTCTGTGTGACAGTACATATGTACATGTGTGTCTAGGACAAGTTCATGTGAATGTGTCTGGCCGTATGTGTTTGTGTATTTCTCACATGCTGCTTCTGTGTGTGTGTCTTTGGAGTGCATGTCTGTCCATTTGCAGCATGAGGCCTATTTTTCCCAAATTTGTGACTGAGGGTATTTTACTACCTCCCCGAGCCCTCGTAGCCCCTGTCTCTCTCATCCAGAAGCACACCCCAAGCCACCACTACTCTGGCTTGCTCCCAACCCCAAGAACCGCCCCCCCGCCATTCCAGATTCTAGACCTGCTGACTGGGTTCATGGCTGGGTCTAGCCAGGTCTGTCTACGTTAAGGGTTCCACAAACACCCCACAGGCCGTGGCCTCCGGGCATGGGAACGGTGCCTTGGACCAGCGCTTCCCCTGAGGTGGTTGTCAGGGAGGTTAGCCCTCCCTGACGGCTGAACAGGTTCTTCCAGGATCCCCGGCTTCAGTTTCCGGGCGGAGGCCGCCGGGCGCCTAGAGGGCTCTGGTCCTGGTTTGAGGAGCACCCTTCCGGAGACAGGGTCCTGGATAACCACAGGCCGGGATTCTTAGAACCCTTAGAAGGCCTGGCGTTATCTCCGCGCTAATCTCGAGGCAGCGGCGGCCAACCAACTTCCTAGGAAAGGAGGCGGTGCAGGTTTTTTTTTAAGTTTATATATACACATACAGACACATATATAAAAACAACTCCGCGCAACAACCAAAACAAACGCGCTTGCTGCAAAAGGGATTCCCAAAACCAGTTTCCTCTTCGCACTCGCCCCCTCATTTGCATGCAGACCCCGCCCCCGCGGAAGATCCGGGCATGTATTTGCATAAGGGGGTACTTGAAACGTTAGGGTGGCATGCAAATAAGGGCTGGCTCCGATTGGCTGGGGTACAGCAGGTGCTGCGTCCGGATTGATCAAAGCCAAGTGGGCGGGGCCGTCGCCCGGGGCGACTCTCTCGGGAAGCTAGTGCCCTGTCTCAGTAGCGTCGGGGCTGGCGCGCGCGGCGAATCTTAAGGTTGCGCTGTTTGCCGGCTCTTCTGGGCCACCAGTTTCCTTACCTTCCATCCTGGCGCCCCCCAGTCCTGGTTCCCCGGCCTCGCTGCCCCGGGCGTCCACGCCTTGCGGGCTCAGCGGGCTCAATCTGCGCAGCTCCTCCTCCATGTTGACTAAGCCTCTGCAGGGGCTCCCGGTGGCCCCCATGACCCCCACGCCGCCGCCAGGTGAGAGAGGCTCCCCTACCGCGCGACCAGGCCGGGCGGGCTGAAGTGGTTGAGGGCGGCGCGGGGGGAGGGGGAGAGGGTCGCGGCCGGCCTCAGCACGCCGCCACCCTGACTTCCTCGCCTCCGCCTGCGTAGGAGGCAAGGATCGGGAAGCGTTCGAGGCCGAGTACCGACTCGGCCCCCTCCTGGGTAAGGGGGGCTTTGGCACCGTCTTCGCAGGACATCGCGTCACAGACCGACTCCAGGTATCCACCACGAGGGTCTTGGGAGGGCCAGGTGTGTGTGGCAGCGGCGGGAGCCCCGGGGCTGGGATGCTAATTGAGCAGGGAATGAGCCTACAGTGTGCGAGTGGTAGGGTCATGAGGGCCGGGATCCGGGTTGCTGAGGGTGTCTTGAGTGCGCGCCTGTGTGTGTGTGTGTGTGTGTGTGTGCGCGCGCGCCTGTGTGTGTGTGTGTGTGGCGGTCCAGGTGGGTATGTGTGGGAAGGGGGTGTTTCAGGGCAAGGAATCTGGAAGTCCAGGGAGTGAGACTGGAGAGTGGCGGGTCGTGAGGACTCTAGACCTTGCGATCCAGGAGAGGTGTATATATGTGGGAAGGTGGGGACCTAGTTGAGATTTTTGGGATTTTGGAGGCAGGTGTCCAGGGTGGAGCCGTGAGGACCAGGACCCCCCCTACAGGGTTGGGGTGTCCTGGGGCTGGATGGGAAGATCGAGGGCTTGGGGTGTTAGGAAATTCAGAACTCGTCACGTGGAGTGAGGGGTCCTGAAGCCTTGAGAAGGAAGAGCCCAGGGCCAAAGATGGTGGGAGAGGTGTACTTGGTTTTGGAGACTTGGAGGGCAGGGGAGAAGCACCAGCTCATTTGGGGTTGTGGTGTGGAGTGGTTGGTTGGGACCAGAAAGACTAGGGTGAGGGTCCAGACCGGGAGAGGTCTGAGGGTCATGTGCTGGCTCCCTCACCTCAGCCCGCTTCTTCAGGTGGCCATCAAAGTGATCCCCCGGAATCGCGTGCTGGGCTGGTCCCCCTGGGTGAGTATCTTTGCAGTCCTTTTTGACCTGGCGACGCCATCTCTGACGATGGATTTCGCCTTTCTATGGTTTGTATAACTCCTTGGGCCCTGTAACGGTGAGAACACTCCTACCAGCCCATGTTTACTCCCCTGTGGTGATATCCACACCTCCATACAGTTCTGACTCACCCCAGTTCCCCTAGAGCCCTGGATTCTCCCCTCCCACCCTCCTTTCTCAGCCTCTAAACATTGCCTCAGGGGCTGCCCGCAGGGCATGCTGGTGAGGAAAGAGGGGCAGAGGTCATTGGTTGCCATGGTGACGGTGGCTGCTTCTCTTCTGCCTTTAGAGCGCTAATGGACAACAGGGCGGGTCTGGGCAAGTTGTAGGGGCGGGAGCGCCCCCTGGCGGGCTCTGGGGAAACTGCGCCTGAGCAGGCTGTGGGACCCAGAGGGAGAAGGTGCCCCTGCGCAGTAGCGGAATTTTCATCACCGTGAGAAAACCTGTCTGCGGCTGTGCAAGTCAGTGCACTGGCCGGCAGAGGGCCCCAGCTCAGGCAGGAAGGCTGCTTCTGGCAGTCCGTGTGCCCGCGCAGGGCTTCGAGAGTGGGGCGGGTTTTGTGACCAGTAACATGTATGCCTTTTATTGAGTACCGACTGTATGCCTCAGACTTTGCTTCATCATAAAAGCTTACTGTGTTCCAATTTCCACTAAGTATTTTCATTCAACACGGTTCTAGATGCTTGGTGACAGTGACAAAATATCACATAATGACACTATTGAGTTCTTACTTTGTGCCAGTTCCTTTGCAGTTAATCACTTTTAGCTATTTAACAACTGTATATTAGCACCTAGAACGTGCCAGGTACAATTCTAGGCACTTGGCAAAATATTACATTTATTGAGAGCTCTTTTTGTGCTAGTCCTTTTCTACTAATTGCTTTCACCTATTTAACAACTATGTATTGAGCTCTGCCCTGTTACCAAGCATTGTTCTAGTGTTTGAGCTATGGCAATGAACAAAGCAGACAAACCATCACACAATAATAGTATTTATTGAGTGCTAACTGCGTCAGATTCTATGCTATAAAGTGCTTTTATCTATTTAAAACATTTTTAACATTTATCAAGCAACACTGTGTGTAAGGTACTATTCTAGTCTCTTTACAGATGTCAGTGGACAAAACAGATAAATTACTACATAATAGTGTTTATCACTTGCTTCTGCTGAAGGCCTTTTGTTAAGAACCACCTTCATTTATTCCTCAAACATTTCCTGAGGGAATTCCCTGGTGGTCCACTGGTTGAGATTCGGCATTTTCACTGCTGTGGCCCAGGTTCAGTCCCTGGTTGGGGAACTAGGATCCTGCAAGTGGCACAGCCAAAAACAAAAACAAAAATGAACTGAGCTCCTATTACATGCCAGATGTGCAAAGGCTTTGGCTTTTTTAAAATTAAATTTTATTGGAATATAGTTGATTCACAATATTGTGTTAGTTTCTGCTGTACAGCAAAGTGAATCAGTTATAAATATACATATATCCACTTTTACTTTTTTTAGATTCTTTCCCAATATAGGTCATTACAGAGTATTGAGTAGAGTTCCCTGTGCTACACAGTAGGTCCATATTAGTTATCTATTTTACATATAGTAGTGCTAACATGTCAATCCCAATCTCCCAATTTATCCCTCCCCACCCCATAGCCTTAAGCTTGAATCACCTTCCCAATGGCTATGTGAGTTTAAGCCCTTAAGATGAGAGAACTGAGGCCCAGGGAAGGAAGCAGGTTGCTCAAGGCCACACAGTCAGGAGGCTGAGGAGCTATGATTTAAGTTCAGGCGAGAAGTCAGCCTCAAAGCTGCTAGCCTGATGTCTGTATTCTCTTTTCTCTCCCTGCTTCCCCCCCCCCAGTCAGACTCAGTCACATGCCCACTGGAAGTGGCACTGCTATGGAAGGTGGGTGCAGGTGGTGGACACCCTGGTGTGATCCGCCTGCTTGACTGGTTCGAGACACCAGAGGGCTTCATGCTGGTCCTTGAGCGGCCTCTGCCTGCCCAGGATCTCTTTGACTACATCACAGAGCAGGGCCCGTTGGGTGAAGGCCGAAGCCGCTGTCTCTTTGCCCAGGTAGTGGCAGCTGTTCGGCACTGCCATGCCCGTGGAGTTGTCCATCGTGACATCAAGGATGAGAACATCCTGATGGACCTCCGCCGGGGCTGTGCCAAACTCATTGATTTTGGTTCTGGCGCCCTGCTTCATGATGAACCCTACACTGACTTTGATGGTAAGGCTTCCCTAAATCTCTGTGGGGGGAGTTTTCACCTTTTATCTTTTTGGCCTCTTGACATTTGACCTCCAGTGCTGGGGTATCCTGTAACCCTTGATCTATAGTACACCTTTATAAGGTTCTTGAGTTTTAATTTTAGGGGCTTTCAAGCCTTGCTCTCTAATAAGTCCATCTTCTGACAGTGCCCTGATCTTGTTCTGGGCTCTTATTCTGATGATGGGATCCTGCTATTATCCTGAGTCTTCTTTTTCTGGTAAGGAGGTCCTACTGTACCTTTTAAGTGCTTTTATTCCATTGAGCTTCTATTCTGGTGAGGGGACCCTGCTCATACAGTGAGTTCTCTTAATTCTAGTGAAGCAACCATACTTCCTGGGGAGGGTGGGATGGGAGAAGGGCATTATCAGAGAATGGTCTAACCTGTGGCTTATGTGCAGGGACAAGGGTGTACAGCCCCCCGGAGTGGATCTCTCGTCATCAGTACCACGCACTCCCAGCCACTGTCTGGTCACTGGGTATCCTCCTCTATGACATGGTATGTGGGGACATTCCCTTTGAGAGAGACCAGGAGATTCTGGAGGCTGAGCTCCACTTCCCTGCCCACGTCTCCCCAGGTGAGGCCCCACCCACCCTAGCCCACCAGACTTCATCCCTCCCAGGGATTGGTGCCCCCAACTCACTGCTAATCTCCTGTGTGCTTCTGATCTGCAGACTGTTGTGCCCTAATCCGCCGGTGCCTGGCCCCCAAACCCTCTGCCCGACCCACACTGGAGGAGATCCTGCTGGACCCCTGGATGCAGACACCAGCTGAGGATGCATCCCTCAACACTCCCAAAGGGAGTTCCACCCCTTTGGCCTGGTCCCTACTGCCCTAGTCCTGGCCAGGGCCCCCATTAGTTGGAATAGCCATCCCATGGCCACGCCACAGGGATAGATGGACATCTGTTGATCTGGTTTTACAGGTCATTAAAAATCCAGTGTTACTAGGGTCAGAGATTGGGGATCAGGTGTCAGAAGACATAAGCCAAGTTTACCTAGTCCCTATCCCAATCCTGCTAAGGAGCCTTCCTCCCAGAACGTATGCTCTGTTATTCTGGAGGGGGTCCTTCTTTGCTTCTTGTTTTGCTAAGGGTGTTTATTTGGTTGAAATTACATTCTGAGCCTGCAGGGCTCTTATTCTGATGAGCAGTAACCCCTACACTGGCACCTCCTGCTACCACCACACAAACTTAGTTTAAATGCTCTGACTTGGGCAAGGGTGCTTTCCTTCCAATACCCCAGCGGCTCTTATTTTAGCAAAGGGACACTTTCCCCTAGCCTAGGGTCCCATATTCAGTCAAGCTGCTTGCCTACCTCAGCCCAGGGTTGTTTATTCTGGGGGAGGTAAGCCCTATTGTTGTCCCAGGGCTTTTGTGTGTGTGTGTGAGGGGACCCTACTCTGTTATCCCAAGTGCTCTTATTCTGGTGAGGAGAAACCCCACTTTCATGATTTGGGAGGGGATGGGAGATGGACACTACTAGAGTCCACTAGGATGGGGTGGATGGTTTTGGGGGGGATGGGGTGAGGGAAATGTCTTGTTGTTTGTTCTCCTAGGGCCCCACCCTCCACCTTTTTTTGATTCTTGCTGCCTCCTTCTGAGCCAGGGTTGTCCAGTTGCTGAAATGTAAATACTTATGTATTGGGGAAGGAGAGCTCCAACTGTATCTTCCTCTTCCTTCTCCCCCGCCTGGATTATTTAAAAAGCCATGTGTGGAAACCCACTATTTAATAAATGTAATAGAATCAGAAGCGACTGGCCATTTGTAGATGTGGTGAGGCATTCGTGGAGCATCTACTGAATGCTGAGCCAAGAGGGAGATGGATTGGACCTCTCTGCCCACGGGAAGCCTCAGTCTTGTGGTGCCATCCTGAAGATCTTTTATGGGTTCATTTAAGGTGAAAGAAAAACTTGATTTTCCCCTCAGCTCTTATGTAGCACCCCGTATGTGCAGAAGGGCTGCTTTGGAGATACCATAGACATTGAAGATGTCTGGGACACACTCCCAAATCAAAGATGGTCAGCTCAGAGGCAGAAAAAACTCCTTTCCCCCAACCCCAGGGGAGGAAATACCTTCCCCATGGGAGAAGAAAAGCCCTTTCTGGGGCTTGGTGAGGGCAGGGTGGGGGTTGAGCGCTGACAGGAATCTTCCTAGCCCTTCCTTGTTTTCTAATAACGTCCAAGGTGGAGTCACCTGTTTTGCCTCTACCTTTTTCACCTCTTCCTTGTCTTCTTACCTGTTCATCCCGCTCACTTCAACTTCCTCAACTCTTGACTTACCTGCCCTGCCCTATTTTATCATAGTTGCACTTGTCCCGACCTCAGTTGTACCTTCTCTTGCCCTGCTTTCAACAGCTAACCTAGGGAATTTCCTGGCAGTCCAGTGGTTAGGACTAGGTGCTAGTCCTAACTGCGGTGGCCCAGGTTCAATCCCTTGTCGAGGAACTAAGATCATGCAAGCCAGGCAGCGTGGCAAAAAACAACTAACCTGTAAACCTCTCACCTACTGGCTTACCTACCCACTTCTCACTTTTCCATTCTTAATGGTGACTCACTTGTCCTCCCTTCTCAGTCTGAACTCTCCTGTGCCATTTCACTAGTATATCCTTAACTGCCCTGCCTTTATCTGCTCGCTTACCTGCCTGACCCTCACCTGCCCTGTTCCCTCAAAGTCTCACTTCCCTCCCAGATGCCCGCTGTCTCTCCAGGGGGCGGGGTTTGGCCTCGCCGGCCGAAGGGAAAAGAACTTCAGTCCAACCCGGAAGGACCCAGGAGTTTTGATGCAGAAAGGGCGGTGCCATCAGAAGGTGGCAATAAAGAGCCGAGACAGGAGACACACCGGAACCAAAGAGACGAGACAGAATGGGCGGGCGATATGGAAAGCGGGGTCAAAGAAGATGAGGGCGGGTTTAGTAACGGGAGTGGGCTAAAGAGGCTCTGTAAAGACGGTGGGAGACTGAGCCGGCTGCGTGCCCTGCCTCCGGATCTCAACGGAATTTGGAAATCCTGAGACCGCTCTTAAACTAGCGTTCAGGAGCGAACGAGGAGAGCCACCGCTCTGGGAAGCTTCTCGCTCGCCCCATCCCCACCCCGGGGTCCCGGAAGCGGAAGTAACGGACACGGAAGTGGCTTACTGTTGCCGAGGGGACGGGCCAGGCAGATGCCAACATGGCAGCGGTGGGGTCCGGCGGTTCCCCCGCGGCGGCCGGGCCAGGGGTGGTCTCTGCAGGGATGTTGGAGCCTGGGACCACGACTGCGGGTGAGACAGGCTGTGGCTGAGCAGTCGGCGGCGGGCGCGGGGGTGGGATCGCGGGGGGGTCAGAAAGGTTCCTCACTGAGGCGAGAGGGAGCATCCCGTACGGACCAACCTATGTGTGGGGAGTGGGAGGGTGGGAGGAGGACGTGTGTTTTGGGGGCGTGGAAGAGACCATTCTGAGGGTGATGGGGAGGTCCCTTCTGCAAATGGGGAGTAGAGACTATTCTGAGTTGGAGGCGGGTGTTTCCTTTTGGGGAGGCTAAGACCACTAAGACCATTCTGAGTGTGTGTGGGGGTCCGTCCTTATACAAGGGAGAGACCATTCTGAGAGCGGGAGAGTTCTTCCTTACAGAAGGGAGGAGCTGTTCTGAGGGAGGTGGTTTCTTCCTTGTAAAGGGACAGGGGTATTGTGAGTTAGGGTGGGGCAGGTTCTTCCTTATATGACTTAGAATGTTTTGAGGATAGGGATGTCCATTATATGGGGAGAAGACCATTCTAGGGGTCCCTTCCTGATGGAGATAGTTCATTGTATGTTGCAGTGGGAGGGGCCTTCCTTATATGGCGGAGAAAGGACGTTCTGAGGGTGCCAGGCCATTCCTTATAACGGGGAGAGTTCATTGTGAGTGTGAGCAGGACAAGGGATAATTCCTTGGGTGGGGGTATGCGGTGGTGGGAGGATGATTGGTGTATAGGGAAATATTTCCTTATATCGTTAAGGGACCCAGACCATTCTTAGTGGAGTAACCATTTACTACATGGGGTTCAATCCTTTGGACAGTGAGGGAATCATTTCTTATATTTGTTAGACCATTCTGGGGCAGGGAGGAATCAGTCATCATAGGCGGGAGGGGTTGGAGAGACCATTCTGAGTGTAAGGGAATGGAATAATTTAGATGAGAGAACGTTCCTTAAGGGATGGACATGCCTTATATACAGTGGTCTCATTCCTTGTATTAGGGTATCGTTTTTCACATGAGACAATCATTCACTAAATAGAACCATCATTTCATATAAATATTTGGTTGTTCATCCATAAAATGAGAACACTGATAGTTCATTCAGAGATCAGAGCCATGTAGGGGTCTGTTGAGGTGATCCATATAAATCCCTTATCCCAATGATAGGCACGCAGTAAGCACTCAATAAATGTCGAGGATGCAGTTGGTATTCTGCCCAGGGCAGGGTTGCTTCTCACTCAGGGGAGGGAGAGAGAGGGCTGAGGTGGGTGTCCAGGACCTGCCCCACCCATTTCCTGACACCTCAGCAAGGATTCCAGGTATGGGCTGGACAGGGAGAGGCCCACTTCTCCCTTTCTGGCTCTTCCTGCCTGTGGCTGAGGCAGTGGAAGCTGGCAGGGATGAGACTCACGTTGGGTCAGGATAGGCAGGCAGAAGGAGGAAGTAGCGGTGGCTAGGAGGATCCTGGTTGAGAAAGGAGAGGGGAGGGTGGTAGTGTGGTTATGCCACAGCAGCTTTTGACCCCTTCTTCCCCCTTACTCCTTCCATTCCCCACAGCTCACCGGCGCCTCAAATACATATCCCTAGCTGTGCTGGTGGTCCAGAATGCCTCCCTCATCCTCAGCATCCGCTATGCCCGCACATTGCCTGGGGACCGCTTCTTTGCCACCACTGCTGTGGTCATGGCTGAAGTGCTCAAAGGTCTCACTTGCCTGCTGCTGCTCTTCGCACAGAAGAGGGGTATGAGCCAGGGAGAGGGGCTGCAGGGAGGGGGGCTGCATTGGAGTCGGTGGGTGGCAGTGTGTGTATGTATGTGTGTGTGTGTGTGTGTGTACGTACCCGCTCCCACGTGGAGGGTTTGGTTGGGGGATTATCTCTGTGTCTATGAAAATGCCTGGGGACTGTGTAAGTGTGGCTTGGCTGCCTTGTACCTCCAGCTATGAGTAGCTGCATCCACATGTTTATACCCCTAACTCCCCAGGAGCTGGCCAGTAAACACTGAAGGAATGAGACAGTCTGTGCCCATAAGGTAGCAGGTGACCCTTACATGATGATTTATTGATTTCTCTCTAACTTTTCATTATGGAGAATTTCAAACACAAAATCAGAGAAAATAATAAAATGGTAAAATATCCATGTCCCATCACCGAGATTCAACAATGATCAACTCGTGGCCACTCTGCCATTAAACAGCATCAGTGATTATCCACTCACTACCAGTCTATGTGTCTGTTTACCTACTCCTGCACCTTGATATATATTTTTTTTTAATTTTTTTTTTTTGCGGTACGCAGGCCTCTCACTGTTGTGGCCTCTCCCGTTGCGGAGCACAGCCTCCGGACGCACAGGCTCAGCGGCCATTGCTCACGGGTCCAGCCGCTCCGCGGCATGTGGGATCTTCCCGGACCGGGGCACGAACCCGTGTCCCCTGCATCGGCAGGCGGACTCTCAACCACTACGCCACCGGGGAAGCCCCACCTTGTTATATTGAAGTATGTCCCACATGAAGTATTATTTTGAAGTAAATTCCCTCTTATTATCTTGAGTAAATATTTCGGTACATTTAAAATAATGACTTCAATCAGTCATGACTGCTAGAAATCATACATCAAAAAATTAACAATAATTTTTTAAGTTAATCAAATAATCAAATATCCAGTCAGTGTTCAAATTCGTAATGATTTCTCAAATGTCATAAAAGTTTTAAAAATTTTGTTTGAATCAGGTTTATATAAAGTCAGTGCTTTGTAATTGGTTGGTGTCTTCTAGGTCGGCTAGCCTCTAGTTTCCCCTCCAACTGTTTTTTTTTCTCTCTGCAGTTAATTTCTCGAAGACATAAGGTTGTTTGTCTTGTAGACTTCGAGTAGCCTGGATTTTGCTGAGTGCCTCCCACTGGTCTCATTTAACATGTTCTTCTGTCCTCTATATTTCCTATAAGTTGAATTTATTTACTAACTTAAACACCTCCCCAAAGGCCTTCTTTAAAATGTTGCCCAGTCATTTCTCTATAAAGGCCTCGCATGCAGCTCTGCCCTAGGTATTTACACTGAAGAAAGCATTCTCACCCACTCATTAGCTCCAGGGCCCTGGGAGGCAGCAGTTTAGGAACTCATCTGCTCTGTTCTAGATTGAGTCTGAGACGGTTCGAGTGAACACTGTGTGGCAGGCCATGTTCTGGCTGTGGAGGTGGACATGTTAGCGATGCAGACGTGCATCTTGCCCTCAGGGGGCTGATATTTTAGATGGGGAGAAACAAATAGCTACAGGTTAATCACAGCTTTCATCTCTTATCTACAATTTCAGCAACCCCCCCCCCGTTTTATTTTTTTAGTTTTCTCATTTGGTGTGAATGTGTCCACGGGTCACTGCAGAAATATGAATGTGCTTGATTACGGTGTGCAGCGCCATATACGTTGTGTGTGTTATGTGAAATGTATAGCATATATGCCATGTTACCTTTCTAACACCTGGACATTCTTGAACACCCAAACCCCTGGGCCCAGGGAATTTGGGTAAAGCGTTAGAGGTTGATAGTTACTCCTGGGATTAATGCCATGAAGGGAAAGGGCAGGGTTTTGTGAATGAGCATCAGCAGGAGTTCCTGCAGTAACCTTGTGCAGTGGTTGTGGGGTTTTCCCTGAGGAGGGACACTCAGATGAGTCTTAAAAGATGAACTGCAAAAAAGTGGGGTGAGATTTGCAAAGGTCTTATTATATAGGAAATTATTCTCATTTATTGATTGGAGCAGGTCCCAACCAGACTTTCTGCTTTAGAGTCAAGCCTGCATTCTTCCATGTGACAGGGGCAAATGCTTGGTGTGTGTGGGGCTGACAGAAGGAGGCGGCCAAGTGGAAGATGGCCCCTGCCCTCAGGCAGCTCTCAGGCTTGGAAGGAACTAGGAAAAGTCTAAAAGTTGAGTCTAAGGAACTTCCCTGGCAGTCCAGTAGTTAAGGCTTCGCCTTCCAATGCAGGGGGTGTGGGTTCGTTCGATCCCTGGTCAGGGAGCTAAGATCACACATGGCTCGCGGCCAAAAAACCAAAATGTAAAACAGAAGCAATATTGTACAAATTCAATGAAGACTTTAAAAATGGTCCACATCAAAAAAATCTTTAAAAAAAATAAAAGCTGAGTCTAAAACTTTCCCTCTGCTTGGTAAATAGCTTTCCACCCACACTCCTAGAGCTTCTACTTCACAAGCTCCTAGTTAGTGCTGATTATTTCATTGCACAAACTGTACTGAGTGCTTGCCCTGGGACTTTGTGCCAGGGAGGTGGGCTCTAAGATGAGTGAAATATGGTCTGTGATTCTCAGACTGAGTATCCGAAAGGCTTGCTGGAGACATGTTTGTACTCTAGAGAAACTGAGAGTGCAGACCTCATTCTAGCCCTCAGGGAGTCGGAGTGTGGTGGGGAGACACAGGACCAGGCCCAGTCCTGTCCTTTAGAGGATCCCCATCTTTGGAAGTCAGCGCTAAACAGGGCTCTCCTCCCTCCACCTAGGTAACGTGAAGCACCTGGTTCTTTTCCTCCACGAGGCTGTCCTGGTGCAGTATGTGGACACACTCAAGCTCGCAGTGCCCTCTCTCATCTACACCTTGCAGAATAACCTCCAGTATGTTGCCATCTCCAACCTGCCAGCTGCCACTTTCCAGGTGAGCCCCAAGCCCAGGAACTGGCTGGGGTGGGGGATATAGGATGTTGGGGAGGGAGGGCTGCAGAGAGCGGGGGCTGTGTTTCCTCCAGAATGTCCTTGGATCTTCCTCAACCTCGGTTTCCTCATCTGTGAGAACTGGGAATGGAAATGGTAATAGTAGCTACTCACTGAGATGACTAAAAGAAGTAATATCTGGGAAGAGCCCTTGGTTGGTGATGGATAAGCTTTAGGCTATTTACAAGCAACCTTTAAGATGGTTAAAGAGCCTGGATTCTGGGGCCAGGCTGCCTGGGTTCAAATCCCAGCTCTGCTACTTTCCAGCTTTGTGATATTGGGCAAGTCACGTAACCTCTCCATCTCATCTTTAAATTGGACATTACAATAACACACTTCATATGTGAGGATTAAACGAATTCATGTGAAGTGCTTAGACCCACACCTGGCACATAGTAAGCTCTATGTAAATGTTTACTGACGTCATTTCATGGCTGATTCATTTGTATCAACACATCCTTATCAAGACCTCCCTCATCAGGATGTTTACTATTCATTCATTACCTGCTGTGTGAGGTGCTTCACATACATCAGTTGTATTTACAGATGGTATGTCAGGGCTCAGACAGGGCAAGTGCTTTGTCCCTCGTCACACAGCTAGGACATGGGGTTGGGATGTGGACCTGGGTGTGGCCCAGGACGTCCTTGCACAGCCATCCTCCTGTGTGCTTTCTGGGAGGCGCCTCAGAGCTATTTAGCCGCATCTCAGTCAGTGGCCAGTGGCTGGATATTTTTGCTGTTTTTATGGTTATCTACCCCACCCTGTCCCTCCATTGTGCCTGGGGGCCCACAGTGGGTGCCGTCCCCCACATGTACATGTTGGGGGTCGGAAGCAGCCCTCAGTGTCTTCCACATGCCACTCGCAGGTCACGTACCAGCTGAAGATCCTGACCACGGCACTGTTCTCCGTGCTTATGCTGAACCGCAGCCTTTCCCGGCTGCAGTGGGCCTCCCTGCTGCTCCTCTTCACCGGAGTCGCCATTGTCCAGGCACAGCAAGCCGGCGGTGGGAGCCCGCGGCCTCTGGATCAGAACCCTGGGGCGGGCCTAGCAGCTGTCGTGGCGTCCTGTCTGTCCTCGGGATTTGCAGGTGTCTACTTTGAGAAGATCCTCAAAGGCAGCTCAGGCTCCGTGTGGCTGCGCAACCTGCAGCTGGGCCTCTTCGGCACAGCCCTGGGCCTGGTGGGGCTCTGGTGGGCCGAGGGCACCGCTGTAGCCCACCGCGGCTTCTTTTTCGGGTACACGCCTGCTGTCTGGGGCGTGGTGCTCAACCAGGCCTTCGGCGGGCTACTGGTGGCTGTTGTCGTCAAGTATGCCGACAATATCCTCAAGGGCTTTGCCACCTCCTTGTCCATTGTGCTGTCCACTGTTGCCTCCATCCGCCTCTTTGGCTTCCACGTGGACCCTTTGTTTGCCCTTGGTGCAGGGCTGGTCATCGGTGCCGTCTACCTCTACAGCCTGCCCCGAGGTGCAGCCAAAGCCATAGCTTCCGCGTCTGCCTCCACCTCTGGGCCCTGCACTCACCAGCAGCCTCCGGGGCAGCCACCGCCACCGCAGCTGTCTTCCCACCGTGGAGACGTCAGCACGGAGCCCTTTCTGCCAAAGTCAGTGCTGGTGAAGTGAGGGCTGGCGGTGGCGGTGGGGGGAGACAGGGAGGGACACTGGGTGGAGGGTGTTGGGCATCTGCAGGACCCAAGTTGCCACCGGGGCCTGGCTCCCATGGGGTTGGAAGGGTCTTTTCTTCCAGGTTCTCGAGAATTCTGGAAGCCTGTGGGACTAGGGCAGGGCATCACGTGAACCCTTCCTTGTAGCCAGGGGTTTTTAGAGCTGCCTCCTCTGTCTCAGTCTAACCTCTTTGGGGACCGGGTTGGGGGTGTTGTTATTCAAGGCTTTTTTTGTCTGCCCCCCTCAGCCAGAGGCGTCCTGTGTCTCATGCCTGGGAGAGTCCCTCCCAGCAATCCCTCCACCTTTGTAGGGACAAATTGGACAAAAATCCTACAACTCCTTAGTAATGACTGATGCCTATGTGTGGGGTTCCGATTCTGATAGCTTGAGGCCTTCTCTCCTCCCTGACAACCACACTGGATCATATTAGTAGCTCTTTTTGTGGCCTTGGGGCAGCTTCCCTAACACAGGGACTTGAAAATGGGCCTCTTGTGAGCACCCAGAGAGAGAGGAAGGGGGGCGACAGCTGAGATTTTTGCATCAGCCCATTCAAGGGGAGGGTGCAGTAGGGGCCATTTATTTGCGATTTGGGGGTTTGTGGTGTAATCAGATGAATGATCCAGGGTGTGGGAAAAATGGAGAAGGGAGGTCCTTGAAGTGGCCTAATCTCATGGAATCTAAGACACTGTCAGTTGCTGGATGCAGGGTTATTTTCTAAGATACCCTGAGAGGAAAACTAAAGCTGCCAGCCACACTCATGATACCCCACTGGCTGTACGAGGCACCCTTCATGGGGAGGGGTGTCTTTAAATTGCTGAAATGTGGAACCTGCCCCCTGCACTCCCCAAAGCTTATTGACCCCTTAACTGTCTCCCAGGGTGTATATGGGGTGTGTGTGTGTGTGTGTGTGTGTGTGTGTGTGTGTGTGTGCGCGCGCGCACACACACGTGCGCGCACAATGCCTGGGCTGTCTTTGCTATATGTACATAGGGCCGTTGGATCTTTATTTTTGATTAATTTGTTCTGATTTTTTGGTTTGTTTTTTTAAGGAACTGTAATGAACAAATGTCAGGATACCCAATGCCAAATAAAGATATTGTATTTATTTAGTCCACGTGTAGCTTTCTGACCCAGGGTACCCGCTCTCTCCACATGGGCTCTGTTACTAACCCTGGGGACTACCAGCCTCCCTAGTCATCCTTGCTTGCTCAGGACGTCCACCTGCCAGCCCACCCCAGCTTTCTGTGTTTTTCTTTCCTCCCCGTTCCCACCACAGGTTGCTCACCAAGGTGAAGGGTTCCTAGCCGCTGGGATTGAAGACGCTGGCCTGGCCTCACTCTCCCTTCTTGCCCTGGTCCAGCCAGGACCAAACGCTCTGATCAGTACTGGTGGGGGGGGGGGTAGACGCCGAACCCCCTGTCCCCACACCCCCTCTCCCACGCAGGGCTGACATGACTAAACTCTGGCCCAGACAGGACCCAACCACCCCCATGGCCCTGCTACCCCTACACTATTTCTTAGGTGAGTTTTTGTAAATAAAATGTGTTTTGCATCTTGCTGGCTTGGGTTGGGAAGTCTCAAAAGTGTGAGAGAAGGAAGCACTCAGGTCTCGTGGGCATGATCCACCGAAAAGCTTTTATTAAGAACCCCAGGGTGGGCCGGGCTGGGGAAGGTTCAGTCCTGCTGCTTGGTTCGGGAGGCCTCGGCATTGGCCCGGAGCACAGCCCCCGGGGATGGGTAAGGGCGCTGCTGGAAGAGGGGCCCGGCTGCTGTCGTGTCTGCACCCGTCTTGGCCTCATTCCGCTTGGGGAGTCCTGTTGACCACGTGCCCCTGGGGGTGACAAGGGGCGGGGGCGGGAATGTATAATATGTGTACTGTGGCAGGCACCTCCCACCCACCCACAACTGACAAAGGGGGAAAGGAGACAGGAAGAAAGGAACAGTCAGCGGTGCACTGAGTCAAGGGGAAAAAGGAAGGGCTCTCGAGGGGTGGTCAATTACCGGGGTGCATCTGAGTACGAACTGGGGTCCATGGGGTCTAATTCTTCATCCTTCCGGCTTGCCACTGCGGAAGTAGGTGGCAGAGTGGGGTCTTCGACGGGGGCACAAGGAGTCCCCGATCACCGAGCTCTCCCATCCCCAGAAGAAATGGAGCCTGAGGCTGCCAGGCCCCAGGCTCAGGCACTCGTGTGAAGCCAAGCGAGGGCTTCCTTACACTGTGCCCCCCTGGTGCCCCCGTTGCCTCACCCCAGCTTACCCTTCTTGCTCTTGGGGTAGGGAGCCAGCTCCTCCCGGCGATGGTGGCGCCGTTCTTTGCCCTCTTCCCGGTCCACCTTGTCATACCCGCGGTCCCGGTCCCGATCCCTGTCCCGCTCTCTCTCTCTGTCCACCTTGTCATAACCACGCTCCCGGTCTCTGTCAGACTTCTCATGGCTCCGTTCTGACTTCTCATGGCCGCGTTCCGACTTCTCGTGACCTCGGTCCGATTTCTCGTGGCCCCGGTCCGATTTCTCATGGCTCCGATCCAACTTCTCCTCAGCATCTGGGGACACGAAAGCCTTGTGACCTTCCTCCTCCCACCTCAGGACCCAGCAGCCTCTGCCTTCAACAGCCTCCTTTGCCTGGGGCTGGGTCTGCCTGGTCTTACCCGCCCTGGTCTTTTACCTGACCCCTCCTGGAGAACTGCAAGAACACTCGAGGCACCCTTGTATCTGCCAACTCACCTGCATTACTGCTCCTGAGCTTCTTGGCAGATTTGGAAACAACGGAGTTGGGATCATGTGGGGACAGCCAGGACACAAGGTCTGTGTCCACATTCCAGTAGTAAGGGAGCCCGCTGCAGGGCAGTGGAGGGAGGGAGGGAGAGAAGGAATGTCAGCACAGATATCCTCTCCTTGTAGCCTCAACTCTCGTCTCCCCGATCTCTGCCTGTACCTGCCCCATGCCAGGACCCTACAGGGAGGGACCCCCAGATGTCTTCCTTTGTGGCCTCCATTTGCCCCCAGCCCACCCCGCTGCATCCCCAGACTCACCAGGAAGGGTCAAACACCTTGTACCAGCTTGGTGGCAGGCCCTCCAACCGGGTAGCCTCATAGTCCACAGGATCATCATCATAGTCCTCAGCAATGATCTCTTCCTCCGGTTCTGGCAGGACAAGGAGGAAAGGAGGACAGCAGTAAGGACCAGAGGGATCCCCATCCTGCAGTCAGGGCCTGGGGAGACACACTCACATTCACATGGACCACGTGTGTGTGCCAGGTCTCAAGTGCCCTAAAAAATATTGCTCACATTCCAAATCCAAGTATCTGAATATTAGGATTTACCAAAAAATTTACCCAAATCTGTTCTGTTTCTGGGTTCAGATATGACATAATGTTACCTGAACTTATCTGGCTTGGCGAATATGAGGTTTCTGACTCCGGTATATTGACTAGCAAGTTTGGATAGCAAGGGATTTATCCAAACGCTTCTCTGAATCTATTCAGTTCCTGAGGCCTACAACTGTTGTCAGTTACTATCAACAGAATGAAAAAGGTGTATGAGTACCTGGACCTCCATAGGTCTATCATAGATTTCACCTATAGCTAACAATGAAATGTATATGTCAGCAACAGCAGAGTGCCTGTCACACAACAGGCCCAAAATAGATGTCAGCTATAATCATCGGTATTGTTAGTAAGATATATACAATCAGCACAGGGCCTGGTACCAACAGCCTTAAAGTAAATGTCATATCAATGATCATTATCAGTATTATTAACCAAAGATCTATGCTTGGCACACAACAGCCTTGTAATAGATGTCACTTATCAATAAAGTGAAAATAAGATGAGTTTTCCAGTACCTGGAACACCCTAGCCCAAACTAGATGCCAGCTTTTGCTATTACTTACAATAAGGTAGAAATACTAGCAACAGCAGCACAGTAGGCTGAAATGATAGATCCTATCATTATTTTATATACTGTTCACCATAATGTGTATGACACTTCAAGTAGACCCAAAATACATGTCAGCTATTGATACGGTGAACAATAAGGTATATATCACCAGCACAGTGCCTGGCTCCACAGTAGGTCTAAAATAATGTTATCTATTAGTATGGTAAAGAGCAAAGTATTAGCATCCTGCCACTGTGCTTGGCCCACAGGAGGCTGCGGTAGATGTCAGCTTCTGTCAACTGTTACTATCCTTACTATTAGATAATTTGTAACCACTTCCAGGGATTGATGGATGGATTAAACTTGGGATATAGAAGACCCAAAAATACACGTCAACTGTCAGTATTATTAAGGATGAAATGTCTATTCCCCGTCCCCACCCGCCTCCTCATACGGTAGGAATGGGTGTCAGGAATACGCATTGTTAACAATGAAATGCCTGCCACCCCACTGCTTGGTGCGAAGTAGGTCCATGCTAGGTATCAAGTGGCAGTATCAACAACAAAGTGCCTGTCAAGCCTGCCACATTGGTAGGCCTATCTGCTCTTAGCTCTCTCACCGGGCTCCAGATGTTTGAGAATGCCTCTCTTGGCCAAGCGGGTCTGCAGCGCAACGGGCAGCGGCATAGCGGATAGCAGACAGACCTAGGGAAGAACAGACAGACCAAAAAACAGCTCAGATGAGGACTGAATGTGATCTTGTAACCAAGCGCCTCCCCTCAGCAAGTACTCATCTGGACCCCCACCTACACTAGGAGCTGGGCGACAGACCCTACGCTAAAAGGTGGAAGGGATAAATGGCAATATCACCAAAACTCTCACCAACCCTCCTCTCCCGGGCCGGGTGCTCCAGGACCGGGTTCCTCTCCCAGGCCCAGGCTCCGCCCACTGCCACAGGGGCCAAACGCGGCTGCCCCTCGCCCCAGAAATGGGCTCACCCAACTTCCCCCGAAGACTACCGGGTGGAAGGAACCAAGGCGCTGGGATGGGGGAGCAGAGTGCAACACCTCCAGCTCCAAAAAATGCGCCCACCCCGACATTACCAATACAGTCACGCGGGTAGTGGAAAGCTGACAGACTGGCCGTCTCTCTCTCGTCGCTTCTATGAGTGCCAGGACTACACGACTCTCTTCTCCCAAACCCCAGAACGAGGTCCTCTCCCTCCGAGCCTGGAGGAAACTGGGCTAAGCTCAGGCTGCGGCGAAAGGATGACACAAACTTGGCTGGCCAATGAGAGTGCCCCTTGGTCTGACTTCTTCTGGTGAAACGACCCAATCATTGCCCTGGAATAGGTGGAAAGCTCGAACGCCTGTGTGCATTTACGGTGGGGGCGTGGCCCGCCCGCGGTTTAGTCAGACTGCGCGGCCGGACGCCGGCGCCATGGAGGAGTACGCTCGGGAGCCTTGGTACGGCGAGGGGCGCAGGCCTCGGGACTGTTGCTGGGGCGCCACGGCCAGCGGTGGGAGGCGGGCGGGGGAGGCATCGGCCACACAGCGCCACGTCCCAGATTCGGGAGACTCTTAGACGTTTGTTGTCTCCTTCTGCTCCCCTTCCCTTCCTCCTACTCGGGCTCCGTTAAGAGGGGCCACAACTGTGTGCCTAAAGGAGAAGGTGCGGTGCAAGGACGAACCACTCCACGTTTCCCTTGCCTTCGTACCTCCCAGTCTCTCTTTGTTAACGAAAAGACACGCTGGTCGAATCCATTCCAGCCGAGGGGGTGGTGCGGTATTGAGCGGTGCTGGATCATCCCCCCGGTCTGCGATTGGTTTTTCCCAGTTGTACGGGTTTAAAAAAAAAAAAGAGGGCGTGGCTTGGTTGGACGTGCTCATTGTGGGAAAGGGGGGTGCGAGCCCGTTCTGCTTTAGTAACAGTGCTAGCTTAACACTTCTGTAGCGCTTATTTAAACTTGCCAACTCTTTGCTTGTTATCAATTCATTTAATCATTGATAGTAGTAAAGCGGTTGATTTCTTGGTTGGCTGCGAAGGGGAGGGGCGGACAGGGCAAAGACTAATATTTTCCCTCCTTCGCACTATTTTTTGCTTAAATGAGGGGGAGAATAATCTATTATCTGAAATTCTGCTTCCCATTTGGGTGACTTAGTCTCTCCCAGTTGGAAAGAGTCATTGTGACATGGCAAGAGGGAGGGCTCACATTAACCCCATCCTCCCCCTTCCCGCTTGCAGCCCATGGCGAATTGTGGATGATTGCGGTGGCGCCTTCACTATGGGTGTTATCGGCGGTGGAGTCTTCCAGGCCATTAAGGGCTTCCGCAATGCCCCTGTCGTGAGTCCTGGCCTTCCCTGGGTGGCGCGGGGGTCCTGCCCTGCCCACATGGGATACTGTTCTGAAAACTGCTTGGAGCTGCTAGTCACATGCACTTATTCATTCTGGTGCCTGCTCACCTACTATATGCCAGGCCTGGCTCCAGGATCTGGAAGTTTGGAGGAACTGCAAACATGACCTCTGCCCCTCACCCCCCCACCCAACTGGAGCTCCTCTGTGGAAATGCTGTGATGTCAAAAGGGTCATCACCAAAACCTAAATGTGTGTGTGCAAAGCCAGTCAGATTTTACCTAGAGGCAGATTCTGGGTTGGAAGCCTGGATAGAGGGAAGTGACAGAGGAGTTTAATTGGCAGGAGGAGGACAGCCTTAAAGCTGAGAAAATGCTTTTAATTTAACGTAATCTATTCCCTCTCTCTCTCACTCTCTATCTCTGACAACCCCCCTCCCCTTCCTGGGAGACCTCATCAAATGTCATGACTTTAAATGCCATGCATTTGTCAAGGTCTCTGTAATTTCTCTGTCTAGCCCTGTCCCTCCCCTCATCTCCTGGAGCTCTCTTTCCTGGATCTTTGTCCAGGTTTCTCCCTCTTATCCTCAAGGTCTCAGCATAAATGCCCCCCTCCTTAAAGAGGTCTTTCCTGACCCTTCAGCCACTGTCATAGCTCTTTTTCCTATTTCCTCTAGCGTTCTTATTGCTGTCTGAAGCTGTCTTATCTGTACCCTTATTTAGGATCTGTCTCCCCCACTATAATGTGAGCTCTGAGAGCGTAGGGGCCAGGTCTACCTTGTTTACTGCTGTATCCCTGCACACAGCATGGTGCCTGGCACATAGGTGCTAAGTAATGAATGAATGAATGATTTCTCATCCCAGCTCTTAGAGCACCTATATTGGGGTGCTCCCCAGCCCCCTAGTTCTTGGCCCCTTCCCCACATCTCTACCCCTGATACCCCTCCAGGTTTCCTGCCCCCATCCCTCTCTTAAAAGCTAGAAACCTTGTCTGCCAGTGGCCTCAACCGGGCTCTGATTCCCTTCCTCCTCACTTTCCTCCAGGGAATTCGGCACCGAATGAGAGGCAGTGTCAACGCTGTGAGGATCCGAGCCCCTCAGATTGGAGGTGAGAGGTTTGGGGAGACAGATGTGATAACAGAGTTGAGCTGGTTGCTCCTTTGAGTCTAGACTGCAAGTTGGGGGTCCAGATTCTAGTCCCACCTCTGCCTGGGACTTCCTGGGGGAGTGACGTTTCCCAGCAATTTCATATGGGTGAGTTCTGGAGTTTAAATCCAGGCCCTGGCTCTTCCCTGCTGTGTGATCTTGGGCTAGTGGCTTAACCTCTCTGAACCTCATCTGCAACATGGGGATGACAAAACAATAAGTTCTGTAATTTATGTAACTTAGGTAGTACGTACTAAGTGCTGGTTGCTCTGTTAAGCGCTTTGATAGTATTAACTAATATAAATTTTCAGAAGTCAAGTAACATGCAGTGTGTAGATCAGGTCCTGGCACACAGTAAGACTTGAGTAAACATTTTAACTATTGTATTGTTAACTGGCTTTGCTAACCCCTTTCCTTCTCCCTGAAACCAAGGTCAGAATTCCAGTTCTGTGTGGTAGTTACAAAGATCAAAGTTGCTCTGTTAAAAGCCATATAGAAGGGAGTTCCCTGGTGGCCTGGTGGTTAGGATTCCGGGCTTTCATTGCCATCACCCAGGTTCAATCCCTGGTCAGAGAACAGAGGAATGAGTGCATGGCGGGGCCAAGAAAAAAGCCATATAGAAGCAGATAAATCTGCCCGTAAAATACTTGTCAGCCCCCTGTGAAGGTGAAAGGAGTGCCGATGGCAATTACAGACAGATTGAAGGAGCTACCACAGAGACAGATGGGGGCTCTCCCCTAGGAGTTTGCCATCTGCCTTTGCCTCTGGGTTTTTCCCCCCGTTCTTTGCCAGAGCATTCAAGCCTTGGGAGTCCCTGGACCCTGAGCCGTATATTCTGGGGATTCCCCACAAACACTAATTAGGCTGTGGTCCCTCAACAGGTAGCTTCGCAGTGTGGGGGGGCCTGTTCTCCACCATCGACTGCGGTCTGGTGCGGCTGCGGGGCAAGGAAGATCCCTGGAACTCCATCACCAGTGGAGCATTGACCGGGGCTGTGCTGGCTGCCCGCAGTGAGTGCCCCATCCCCAGGCCCCAGCCCCTTCCACCCTGTTCTGCCTGCTCTCACCTGTCTCCCTGTGCCTCCTCATTCCTCCAGGTGGCCCATTGGCCATGGTGGGCTCAGCAATGATGGGAGGCATTCTGTTGGCCCTCATCGAGGGTGTTGGCATCCTCCTCACTCGCTACACTGCCCAGCAGTTCCGCAATGGTGAGTTCCTGGTGAAGCTGGCCAGGGAGAGGTGGGAAATGCTCTGCCTTGCCTCCTCCACTCATCTTTATCCAATTCTCCCTGCTCCAGCACCCCCATTCCTGGAGGACCCCAGCCAGCTGCCCCCTAAGGAGGGTACCCCAGCCCCAGGCTACCCCAGCTATCAGCAATACCACTGAGGAAGTGACCGCCTGTCATCGCCACCGTGGGAGCTCCTCCTTGGTTCCCTCCGCGATGATCTACCTCGAAGGGAGGGCTGGCTCCCGGTTGGCCCTGGGACCCTCCAGAGAGGGCCTCTACTCTGTTCCCTTATCCCAGGTTGGGGGTGGGGCACCCCAGCTGCCCTGATGGGTGGGTCCCTTCTCTCTCAGGCACCCCAGCCCCCACTCATATGTAACAAGCTCTCACCCCAGTCCCTTTGCATGGCGCCCTGATCAGTATTTAAAGCCAGTTTTGAAATGCCTATGTATGTACTCCTTGAGCCACCCATTGGAGCTGCTCACTAGGACAAGGGGTAGAGCCCTCTTCAGGGACTTGGGAGCCCTAGGATTTGGAGTCCCACAGAGAGTGGGCTCTAGTAAAGGTTTGTGGGATGAATGTGTAGGAGGGGGAATGAATCCAGATGTGAATAGTACATGAATAAGGGGGCCAAGTGTTGAATCACAAGCAGACGGAAGAGGAACAGGCTTGGGAAAGAAATGAGTGAACACAGGATTGCTGGGGTAGAGGGGTGGTTCAGCATGCGGCACCTCTGACCCCTCTCCCCCATGTCCCCATTGCAAAGACTGGGAAATCTGACCTCACAGTGAACTCTGTCTTTCTGAATACCAGTCACCCCGTTTGTGAAGATAATTCCCCCTCCATGTGGCCTCACCAGGGACCTGGGATGGAAGTAGGGGTCGGGGAGACCCAGCTTCCTTGAAGACGGTACCCTTAATCTTCTCTTCTGCACTACAGAGAGATTTCTGCTCTGCGATGCTCAGGGTTGTCAGTATTTAAGGGTACCGGATGAGGTTTCGTTTTGGGGGTGGAGTGGGGGTTATGGGAGAGAGATTTTCTCGGATGGACATCGGCTCCAAACACTGTCTCTTGCATGCAAACACCTACATGTGTGGGGCAGACGCCTCCACGGGGGTGCAGGTGGCCTCATGGGAGACACACCAACTGTCCCTTTTATGCAAGCCATTGCAAAGAGGTGGAAATGCCCTCTCATACAAACTCGCTCCCTGGGGGTGCAAATGCGGAGTTCTCAAGCCTCCGAAGGCCCCAACGAGGTCCTAGTGGTCCTCGGAGGTAGTAGAACTGCAACGCTGCTTGATGGACTCAGTGCCAGGCGCACGTAGCAGGCCCCGTGCACACAGCTCTCTCAGTGCCCCAGCAGGGCCCTGGCCTCGAACTTGCCGACTCCATGGCCACGCCAGCAGCAGCAACACACTTGCCTGGGTAGGACCGGGATGCCAGTCAGACCCTGGGTATCCCAGGCTGCAACCCTTGTATTTCCAGGCCACTTCCTTTGGTCCCGCCCATTCGGTACACCTAGGCCGCGCCCTTCCTCACCTCCAGGCCCCATCCCCGCTGCGTTTCCAGGCCCCACCCTGCTCCTATCAAACATAGGCCCGCTAGCTCTCCTGAGCCTTTTCCTTCCTTGAGCCCTCAGGTTCTGCCCACCTCAGGCTGCTGTGCTGTTCACAGACCCTTTGTCTCCAGGCCCCGCCCCCAGGTCCACCCCCTCCCTATCTTTCAGCCCTGCCCTCTAAGCCTCCTGCAGGCCCAGGTTTCCCGCCCTCAGAAGCCTCTAGACCCTACCTCTTCCCGTCTTCAGACCCCGCCCTCTCCTGCTCCTTAAGGTCCCGCCGCTTCGGGAACCTCAAATGCTCGGGCGCCCCGCCCTCCTCCCACTTTTGGGACCCCGCTCAAGGTCTCCGGGTCTGGAAGGCTGTTGGAGCCGTGGGGCCGTGGAACGGTTCATGGTGAAGTTCAGGGCCTTGTGCTCTGGCTCCTGGGGCTGCTGGCTGGGCCGGGCGGGACCAGTACTGGGTTTAGTAGCGGAGGACTGGGCTTCGGCTGAGAGTTGTAGAGCGGCATCGAGTGGTGGTGGGGCTTCGTGGGAGCCTAGCTGCCGCGGCGTCACCCGGCTCCTAGGTGGGGCTGGGGCGTCCGGTGTCGTGCAGGTCTCCGGAGTTGCGGGGGGAGTTGGGTCCAGGGCGAGTCCTCAGGCCCCGCCCCCTGACCTGACCGCGGGCCTGCTGCTCTTCCCAGAAGAAGGGAATGTGGGGTCAGACCCCGGATGGTTTCCACCGGGGGTGGGGGGGATTGCAGAGACCCAGAAAAGGCAGGAGACGGAGAAGGCAAGAATGAAACAAACAGATGGCGAGAGAAATAGGAATTGAGGGACATACACAGGGACATAGAGACACTAATGGACACATAGAAAGAGAGGCAGAGAGACATACAAGAAATAAAGGAAAAGAGACAGAGACGAGGAGAAAGGACAGAGACAGGAAGAGGAGCAAGAAGGAGCTGTTTGAGGGTCAGAAATGCAGGTCAAAGTGGAGGCCAAGGCGGGAGAGAAGGCGAGGTGGCGGTGTAGAGTTCTGAGCTGGTTTGAGGGGCTGAACCGACAAGGGTTGTCAGGCCAGGCCTCCTCAGGCTGCCTGCCCACTTACCCTCCAGCTCACTGGCCTCAGAGAGGCAGAGAGATGCCCAAACTGCATTCTCTCTCTCTCTCTCTCATAAGGATTTCAGTGGCTCTCCCTCAGGTTCTTCCTTCCGGTCTCCCTCCTCGCCTGAGCCCCTACTCTGCCTCTATGTCTTGATCTGTCTCTCAGCTCTTCTTCCTCATCTCTCTGCTTTGACTTCTCTGGCTGGTGACTCTCACCCTCCCTGAGTCCTGGAGTTTGCCATCCACCTGTCTGCACGCGGTGGGGAAGGGAAGATATTTGGTGGATGAGGAGGGTTAGAGAGGTGGACAGAATCAGAGAAGAGCAAGAGGTTCCAGCCCTGACAGTGGAGTGGGGAAATCCCTTTGTCCACTTCCTCAGGCAGAGACCCTGAGAGGCTGGGGAGAGAGACGAGGGGAAATCAAAGACAGAGAGAAAAGATAGGGAAAGAGACAGATAGCCAGTTTACAGAGACATCAAAGGAGAAATGGAGATGCAGAGAAACAGATACCAAGAGAAAAAGCAGTACACATTAAAAAAAAAAGACAGGGAAAAGAGGGAATGAAAGTGAGGAGATAGAGACATATTGGGAGAGACAGAGATAGCAAAGAAAAAAGAGAGAAGCTGAGGGGCAGAGAAAGAAAAAGAGAAGTGGGAGAGAGAGAGAAAGTAAGACAGAAGAGTTGGGTGCATACCTTACTCTGAGTTGCTGGTCTGAGTGTTCTCATTTCCCCTGTTCTCTTAGTGGCAGTTGGATAACAGGACCTGGCTGGGCAGGACAGCCCTGATAGCTCCACCCCTACCATCCCAGGTCCTCCAGGGGGGTGGGAGGGCTGCCTTCCCCAGGGATACACCTTTAGAGATCTACGCTCTGATGTTGGGACCTGGCAACCATCTCAAGGAGCCCATTTAGGGCCAACCTCTGGAACTGACCGATCGGGGCCATCTCCAGGGGATCTGCAGTGTCATCAGATTACCTGCAAGCCTGTGATCACTTCGGATATGCCAGTGATCACTTCGGAGGTGACAGAGGAACCTTCCTTTCCTTACGCTCATTATACATATGAGGAAACTGAAAGCACAAAAAGGTAAAGCAACTTGCCCATGGTTATACTGCCTGAAAATGGCAAAGCTGGGATTTATAGTCTTATTTACGGTGTATAGAGTTTCAGAGGTCACTTGCAACATGATTTCCGGGACAACACATTATCCATCCTAATTATGGGTGTTACTTGAAGGTTTTCATGGATGGTGTGAACTATTTTTTTTATAAATTTATTTATTTTTATTTATTTATTTTTGGCTGTGTTGGGTCTTTGTTGCTGTGTGCAGGCTTTCTCTATTTGCGGCGAGCGGGGTCTACTTTTTATTGCAGTGCGTGGGCTTCTCATTGCGGTGGCTTCTCTTGTTGTGGAGCATGGGCTCTAGGTGCACGGGCTTCAGTAGTTGTGGCACGCAGGCTTCAGTAGTTGTGGCTTGCAGGCTCTGGAGTGCAGGCTCAGTAGTTGTGGTGCACAGGCTTAGTTGCTCCTCGACATGTGAGATCTTCCCGGACCAGGGCTCGAACCTGTGTCCCCTGCATTGGAAGGCGGATTCTTAACCATTGCACCACCAAGGAAGTCCTCTAGAGTGGATTTCTTGAGTGGAGTTAAACAGTAGCAGCAAAACAGGCTAAAGTGTGTTTGAAGAGAACAAACTGCCCCAACTGTTAGCTCCCATTCCTGATGGGCTGGGTCTTGCTGATAGGGTTGCAGTGACTTCAGCAGAAGCATTCTCTGAGGCCAACAGCCAATTTTTACAAGATCGAGGTTTGGGATTTTTTTTTAAGGGAAATGTGAGAGGACCTATAGAAAGAAAGCTACCTTCTGAGGTATTTAAAAGAAGAGCTATTGCATTTTTGTCAGTTTGAGGTAGGCGTGTGAGTCTGCATGAGAGAGAGAGAGAGAGAGAGAGATCGAGATCCAGCAATCAAATTCATAGTAGCTGTAGTCTGAGAAAACACACAAGATAGTTTCGTTTTTCCCCTAAGTGACAGAGGGAATCCATAGCGGGTCAAAAGTAACAGGGTGAGAGATATTTTACTTGGTTACTAGAAGGTGTCAAGGTACAGTAATAGTCAAGATTAATAGTGAAGTAAAAAGAAAAAAAGGTGCTGAAGAATCAGAAAATTAATCTTGTTCTGTCACCTTGAGCAGAAGCCATCCAAATCTGCAGTCATCAGCTTCTGGAGAATTCCTAAGAATCCTCAGTTTGAAGCCTATTAATAAGGTCTTTTCCGCTGAGGCTCAAGGGCAGCTTTCCCTTTGATCATGCAGACTTTTTTGGAAATGCAGCTTGAACCTGTTATGGGGACATCTGGAGGCATCACACGAGTCTCTAGTAGTATGAAGTCATATTGGCCTGTAAGAGGGTAGAATCTAGGATTTGAGGTGCAATTACAAAACACTTAGGGTAGTCTGTTATTAACTCAGAAGTAGCTAACTATAGGTGGTCCCCAGAGGGGTTAGAGCTTATTGCCATCAAGGCTAATGGCAATACTTTAGTCCCTGGAAGTTTGAGGGTTAGGGTTAGAAGTTTGTTGATTTTACTTCCCAAATTCCATTAGGTCTCTCCACTTTTTCTGAAGATTATAGGTGATAATGGCTGTAGAGTTTCTGAGAAGTTAAAACTTTACAGAGTTTTTAAATAACAGAGTTCTTTAAATAAGTGCAATGCCTGTCCCTGCTACTGGAGAGGTAAGTTGAGTCGGGAATACAAAGGCAAGCAGTTTCCCTACCTTTACAGTGATAACTCTCTGACCAGT